AGCTCTTGAGGACTGGACTTGAGCACCTTTGGTTTAGCAGAACCAAAACAAAAATAAAGGTGACATTCAATTCTATTCAGTTTATTTCTATAGCGCTGAATCAAAACTCTTTCCAGTTCAACCAGATCATCCAGGCACATTTAGTGTTGTCACGATACTAAACTTTTCAACTCGATACCGATACTAAGTAAAATATTCGATACTCGATACCACAAGAATAAAAACAAAGACTCTAAAATTCAACAGAAATATTTTCATTACTAAAAAAATGCAAGAAATAAATAAAAAACAATAAGAATAATATTTTGAGGTTGTATGCTGTGCACAATATTAAGCAAGCTTGACAAAAAACTTACAAAATAATAAGTGTTCCTTCCTTGGCTGTGCTTTGCACATGTTCTTCAGTCTGAAACTGAAAAATGCACAGAATTATTCAATCACACAGTGTTCAGAAAGTGCATTTTCCACTATTCTGCACTTTAGATGGTTGTATCGATACTTTTGAAAATGAGTATTGTATCCGGATACAACGTTTCAGTATCGATACTTTTTTGAGTACCGATACTTTTGACAACCCTAGTCAGATTGAATCAAGGTTTTCTATCTAACGAAAACCAGCTGATTGCATCGACTCATTGACTCTTCAGCAATCCCTCACACTAAGCATGCTTGTAGCGACAGTGGAGAGGAAAAACTCCCTTTTAACAGGAAGAAACCTCCAGCAGAACCAGGCTCAGTGTGAGCGGCCATCTGCTGAGGCCCACTGGGGTTCAAGGAGACAGAAGCAGACATAGAAAAAGAAGCATAGATACAAAAGGCAACTGTCAACCAGCTCCACAGGCGGCCCCGTCCAGGAAACACACAGCCAGGCAGACGAGCTCCGAGCCAGCTCCCATGTCAGAGGATGAAGAGAGCACATCCAGTTAGTCACAGTCAGAGAAACAGGACTACACTGGAAAACAGGCCGATCTCCAACATCTAGAAACAAAGGTGTTGATGGCAGCAGCACAGCTGATATTTCTCTCCAGGATGGAGTCACAGCCAAACAGGAACAGACCAGATGAAGCTACTATGAGAAAAAGCAGAGAGAGCAGAACGTTAGAGATTGAACTAACAGATTCTGCAGAGTGGGAGAATAGAGATAGAATGAGGCAGAATGATGAAAAAGGGGTCCCTATGTCCTCCAGCAGTCTAAGCCTATAGCAGCAGAACTATAGAGATAGCTCAGGATAACCTGAGCCACTCTAACTAGAAGCTTTATCAAAAAGGAAAGTTTTAATGTTCTGCTGATGGACCTGGACCTGCTGGACTCGTGTGTTCCTGTCAACTTTATGGTTTTTAGTAGTCCTGGATCTAAACTGAACCGGCCCGCTACGCCGCTCTCAGTCACCCCAATCAGAGCCAAACGCTTCCATCTAAAACGCCCAGAGGACCAGTGGGTGTTGATCTACATCTATAACCAAAGGTGTTGATGGCAGCAGCTCGGCTGATATTTCTCTCCAGGATGGAGTCACAGCCAAACAGGAACATATCAATAAAGAGCGAATCTTTAATAGAAGTGACTGTAGAGTCCTCTTAACGGGTCGGGCTCAGTCTGGTTCTCCAGAACTTCCTGTTTTCACTCTGAGGATGAAGAAACATCCTTTACTAATTTGTCCCGTTATTGTGAACATGGAGAGGGGCAGCAGCAGCTGGACGAAACCAGAGAGCGGTCCGCTCCAGGCCCGCGGGGGGCGGGGGTGTTTGGGTGTGTGCCGCAGTGAAAGCAGTGCAGGTGTTGAGTTTCAGGCTGTGCTAATGTGTTTGTGAATGACACTGAGAGGCAGACAGATTGAATGAGAGGCGAATGGCTCCGTTAACAGACACTAATGGTTCTGACAGAACTAGATTTCCTTCAGAAAGCCAGAGTTCACCCAAAGCAAACACAGCAGAGGGACACGTGATGCGGAACCAGAGGAGAGGGGCGTAAAAGACTCGATCAGGAGGAGGCAGAGCGAGGAGAGCAAAGCTGGACGTGAAGCACGGGAGATCCAACAAATGAGCAACCTGCTGCTCTTCTTTCATCCTTCCTCGATTTTTACATTTCTAACAGAGTTCTGACCAACTTAACCCATTCAGGAAGCGATGGATCATTTTAAAATGATCCAGATTAACACTGGAGGTGGTTCTGGTTCCAGTTTCTGACAGAAAGATTCATCCACATGTATAGAAGTTCCTTTTCCCTTCGTGTGCGTCTCTTATCAGCGACATTGGCTGGGAATCATCGGTTATGAAGTCAGTTTATCTAAAATGAGCTGGACCAGCGGTCTGGACCTCACAGTTACATCCCCCCTCCACACACACACACACACACAGGGTGGGGTGTTGCGTTACAGAGGAATGTCAGGCTGCGGATCTGTGGGGGTGCAGCATCATGTTTCCAGCAGCTATGCAGGATAAACACTGAGAATCAACAAACGTTTATCACCAACTGGTCCTCTGGCCGTTTTAGACCAGAAGCGTTTGGATCTGATTCGGGTGACTGAGAACGAGGTAACGGCTCGTTTTTTAACTGACCCGTTACGCAAAAACAATCTAGAAATACAGAAAATGTTCTCAAATGAAGTGAATTTACCCTTAGTATGTAAATAAGATGATTTGTCAATGGAATATTGTTCTTTCTTATTTTAAATACGTATAATGTCTTGTTTCATTGGCGTAGTGTCTCACTTTCCTCCTCAATTCAAGATAATATGCTCTTATTTTAAAAAGAAATTACTTTTTTTAAGTGTGTAGACCAGAAACAACCGGTGGCCTAGATGCTAAAGATAAAGGATGCTTTAGTTTTTTCTTGGTAACGTTTCCAGCAGGTCCAGGTCCACCAATTGATAAAGCTTCTAGTTAGAGTGGCTCAGGTTATCCTGAGCTATCTCTATAGTTCTGCTGCTATAGGCTTAGACTGCTGGAGGACATAGGGACCCCCATTTCATCATTCTGCTTCATTCTATCTCTATTCTCCCACTCTGCAGAATCTGTTAGTTCAATCTCTAACGTTCTGCTCTCTCTGCTTTTTCTCATAGTAGCTTCATCTGGTCTGTTCCTGTTTGGCTGTGACTCCATCCTGGAGAGAAATATCAGCTGTGCTGCTGCCATCAACACCTTTGTTTCTAGATGTTGGAGCTTGGCCTGTTTTCCAGTGTAGTCCTGTTTCTCTGACTGTGACTAACTGGATGTGCTCTCTTCATCCTCTGACATGGGAGCTGGCTCGGAGCTCGTCTGCCTGGCTGTGTGTTTCCTGGACAGGGCCGCCTGTGGAGCTGGTTGACAGTTGCCTTTTGTATCTATGCTTCTTTTTCTATGTCTGCTTCCGTCTCCTTGAACCCCAGTGGGCCTCAGCAGATGGCCGCTCACACTGAGCCTGGTTCTGCTGGAGGTTTCTTCCTGTTCAAAGGGAGTTTTTCCTCTCCACTGTCGCTACAAGCATGCTTAGTGTGAGGGATTGCTGAAGAGTCAACTGGTTTTCCTTAGATAGAAAACTTTGAATCAATCTGACTGGATGATCTGGTGAACTGGAAAGTGACCTGAGATGACATGATGTGAATTGGAGCTATAGAAATAAACTGAATTGAAAAATCTGTCTCTAAGCAACTATTTGAAGTAACCTTAAAACTTCCTTTAGTTTTCAACCGTTAGCGTAACATCGTCTGCGTAGAGTTGAACGTCAGTTTTCAAACCCATGCCTCCCACACAGCTGCTCATGTATGAACAGAGGAAGGGGCTCTTTATCTGAGGCTGGGAGGTCAGAGGTCACCTGTAGAAGAAGGGGCGAGTGTGTTTGGAACAAAGCAGGTGCTGGGAGTCGTCTCAAAGGTCGAAGGTCATTTCCTCTATTGCTCCTCCACAGAGGTGCCCTTCATCTTTCGCTTTCACTCACATCCTGTCCCTCCGTCTCCACACCTCTGGCGTCCACCATGAAGACCTTCTGGTTTGTTCTCTCCCCCCGGAGCGGAAACCCGACAGGGCTGACCTCCGCGCCGGGTCAGGATTATTCTTTTCCAGGTTTTCCAGGATTTCCAGGACACCTTTAAAGGAGTCGCTCAGCTGGTTGGTGTCTGCTGCAGTGCCCTACTTTACCGTCTCCTCCCTCTCTGCTGCTGCTGTGTCTCCCTGAAACAGGATTGTGGAAATGTGTGTGTGTGTGTGTGTGTGTTCTGGTGAGTGTGTGTGTGTGTGAATCTCATCAGCTCTAATTAAGCCGGGCTGCTTAACGAGAAGACAGCTAATTAACTACACACACTCGTCCTTCATCCCCTTCTCTGACTCCCTACATACATCTTCCTCCTTTCTTCCCCTCCTCTTCCTCGGTGGTGTTTTTCTGGGTCAGGTGGGGGGAGGGGTGTTGGGAGATTTGGGGGAGCCTTATTTTAGTTGCTCCACATTTTTGCAGCTGTCCTCTCTCCGTCGGCTCTCTGCTGTATGAAGCATCCCTCCTCCTCCTCCTCATCGTCGTTCTTCCTCTCCGGTGAAATCTAATCCCATTACTCAGGCTGACGTCCATAAAACGGTGTTTTAATGCTAATCAGACGTGAGGCCGTCTCTCTGCTGCGGGGAACGGCTTTTATTAAATCTTTGAGGGATTTTCATCTTCTGAGGGAGATGATGGAGACGGTCCTGGTGTCACTGTTGTTGGGCAGAACAGCCGCAGTGTGAAAACAGATCTTGTTTCTGACAGGTTTAGATAAACGTGAGAGAAACCCTGCTGATGTGGTTCTGGTGTGAACATTTGTTTTTTTTTCCTGCAGTTAAGAAACAGAAACAGGTTTTTGATCCACTGAGGTTCTGATTTTTTTCTGGTTCTGGTTTGGATGTCGGCTGTTCTCATGTTGGGACCCGGTTTGGGTCGATGAATATTTGATGCTGACATGAGAAAAAGGTTTATTCCTTTTGGAAAACGGGCCGAACTCTCTGCTTCCGATCAGTTTCTGGTTCCTGTTGCCTCACAAACCGTGTCTTTGTTTCAGATCCGTGTGGATGGGATCCCGCCGCCGGCCCAGAATGCCTTGCTGTACGAGACGGTGACAGTGGTGGAGGGGAAGCCGATCCTGAGGGACATGGTGTTCAGTCCGGACCATCAGTACATCTACCTGCTGAGCGAAAGACAGGTAAGAACACCTGAAGGGTCACGGTACCGATCTGAAGCAAATGGTTCGGAAGAAAAAAAACATTGATTTGGCGATATATCGTGATTTTTAGCTGCCCGGTATTATATAGCTCTTTAGTTCTTAATATCAATTTTAAAGAAACAAAACGTTTTTTAAAGAAGAAGTCCGGACAGCAAGGAATAACCAGCGGATCATTATTTATACCTAAAAGTAATACGTTGGCGGTGATTTAATGAATTTAGAGTTAATGAGTAAAAAAATAAAAACAATAATTTTCGTTGCGATCACTGAGTCTGGGAGCGGCCATTTTTGCCCAAATATAGTAGCCCCTCCCTCCTGCCATCTTCCAGCAGTGACGTCACGGTGCGGTAAGCCTAGCGCCATTCTCCCCGCTTTACAAGCTAAATCAATGGGAACTACTAGACACATCTGCAATCAACAACAATTATTGACGATTTCCAGAGGACTTCACCATTGAAATTCACCAGAGCTATAGTGAAACTGACAATGCCCACGTGCATGGCAGCTGGATGCTGGAATACATCGGGGAAAAGTGAAAAAAAGAGTTATTCCACCTTTCTGATTCCTGATCCTCCACGGACGGGTTGGTCGTTGGATCGCCAACTTGAAGAGGGAGGATTTGCCATCGAACTTCTGGCCAGAGAAAAAACCCGTAATATGTAGCCAACATTTGGAAGAAGAATGTTTTCAAGATGACTTGGATAATAGCGCGTTGTGACAAACACCAGATACAGCACTGGGACTTGATCAACAGCCGATACCGCACCGTGACAATGTCACTAACCAGTAGGTGGCAGTAGTGTTCTTTGACAAACATGGATGCCTCCAGTAAAGCACATTCACATGGAAAATTACCCTGAATTAAAAACACTGATTATTTATTGAACAGGATGGAATCATTTCAGATTTAAAGAACTTTCAGAAGTTTGAATTCTGAATATAAGCGACTTTTCCTTTAAATCAACCAATCAGGGTAAATGGGCTACCTCTGCATCGCTGGTAGATGGCGCTGTGGAGCCATTTTGCTGTGTGTCACAGCTCCATATCTGTATCTTAACATAGATGCTTCCTTCACGCCCCTCTCAAACCGCCTGTCTTCTTTGTCCAAAATGTGAACATTCTGGTCCTCTAATGAATGTTCTTTGTCCATACGGTGTAGATTTACCACAGAGTCTTCTCCAGAGGAGGGCGCTCTTCTATGTTGGGCCATGCATTAGTGGAGAGGTTGTTTGGTTTCATTGAGGGCTGGAACTCAACGCTATTTCTGACATTTTGAATTAAAAAAGCTTCCTGGATGGAAGAGAAATGTCTTCAAACTTGGAAACAAAGTCCAGTGGATTGTTTTATAACGCTTTCAGAATGACTAAGAATCTTTTAGAATAACATGTTTAACACCTTTAGATAAAGATAGAAGGAAATCTGTTGGTTTAAATGATATAAACATCCTTAGAATAAAAATAAAAACCTAAGAATGAAGGAAAGTGCAGCTAGTGCCAGAGCTGTGAGTGAACCGGGCCGGTAGTCCACTGGACTGTAAGCCTGATTGGCTCAGAGCTCCAGAAACCAGCTCCTCCAATCACCTGCAGCCTGCTGAACTGCAGAGGCTGCTTGGCAGGAAGTTCAGTAAATGTGTCTCTGAAGTGATGAATCTCAGGTCGGCGAGGAACCCAACCATCCTGTTATCCTAATTAAGTCTGAGCGGCTCAGAAATCTACGCTCCTGTTCGGGACGTTTTCAGCTGAGTCAGCCGGCTCCAAACTCCCCGTTGTAACATAAAAAACGGTCGGAACGAGCCAATCAGAATCCCAGAGTCAGCAGCTCTGGGCCGCAGCGGCGCCGTCTCTTTAAGAAAGCCGATAATGAGGTCAGAGAGGAGACGGCGCCGTCCGAGTGACACAATGAATGGACTGATGAGTGGACGGGTGAATGGGACGCTCAGTGTTCTCTCTGTTTACTGACTCTGTGCTGCAAGGAATTCTGGGTAAAACACACAAGCTTTGTCTGTCTGCGTCTGTTAGGATCAGCGTGGGACTAACTGGTTCCCTAAATGATGTCCCAGTTGAACAGGTCCTGCTGCAGCAGCATGCTGAGCGAATCCAGTGAATCGTTACGGAGACATGACTCAGATCAAACGTGTCATAAAGGTTCTCATAACAGCAACCAATCAGAGCAGAAAACAGTCCAAGGTAGTTCAGAACCAGCAGGAAAAAAAAAAAACAGCACTAAAGGCAGACCTGCTATTAGCTGGAGGTTAATAATGGCTCCAACTGCATCCAAAGCAGTATCTGGATCTGGTAGGAGATATTTCTATAATTTAAACCCAGGAAGGAATGTGCAATAAACCCACTGAACCCAGAAGTGTCCTCAAGATGCCCTCAGCTGCTCAGATCCAAGGTTTAAAATGACATCTAATCAGAACCTAAACCAGCCCTCCTGCATTTATAAGGTTGGATCTCTGGATCAAAATAACCCTCTATTTATAAAGTCTAAATTATAATAATTCACTGAAAGAAAAACTAAAGACAGCCTTAAGTCTGTTCAAAATACCAAAAAAACCTCCAGAAACGGGTCTGAACCAGAGAGAGACTCTAGGAGGTCCAGAATAAAACCAATAAATATAGTTATTAATGACAGTAGTGTGATCAAAGTCATTATTCCAAAAGATTTAAAATCAATCCAGTGGACTTTGTTTCCAAGTTTGAAGACATTTCTCTTCCATCCAGGAAGACTTTTCATTTCAAAATGTCAGAAATAGCGTTTAGTTCCAGGTTTTATCCAGCAGCCCAACAAAGCCTGGTTTTAGTTTAGAAAACATGCAAATAAAAACGGATGAACGGGTCCCCCCCTTTGGAATGGGGGTCGTTTGGTTGCTTTGTAGGTTTTTGAAAGCTGAAAACCTACAAAGCAGCGATAGTTGATTTGAAAAAAGATTTGAAAAAAGTTGATTTTGAAAAAGTTTCCTGGATGGAAGAGAAACGTCTTCAAACTTGGAAACAAAGTCCAGTGGATTGATTTTTTTTTTTACTTTTTTGGAATGACCTGGATGACTGAGAATCTTCACCAGCATCAAAGTCATTAGTATTTTCTTGCACATAAATTGCTTCAAGTACAATATAAACACTTATATAAAAATATTACCTTGACTATTGTATATTATACGGAAGAGGACATGTTTGTTAGCTGTCACAATTCTGAGAAAAAACTCAGAATTCTGACTTTTTTCTCAGAATTCTGACTTTAATCTCAGAATTCTGACATTTTTCTCAGAATTCTGACTTTAATCTCAGAATTCTGACTTTTTTCTCAGAATTCTGACTTAAATCTCAGAATTCTGACTTTTTTCTCAGAATTCTGACTTTTTTCAGAATTCTGACATTTTTTTCTCAGAATTCTGACTTTTTTTTCAGAATTCTGACTTTTTTTCTCAGAATTCTGACTTTTTTTCTCAGAATTCTGACTTTAATCTCAGAATTCTGACTTTTTTCTCAGAATTCTGACTTTTTTCTTAGAATTCTGACTTTTTTCTCAGAATTCTGACTTTAATCTCAGAATTCTGACTTTTTTTTCCTCAGAATTCTGACTTTTTTCTTAGAATTCTGACTTTAATCTCAGAATTCTGACTTTTTTTCAGAATTCTGAAATTTTTCTCAGAATTCTGACTTTTTTTCAGAATTCTGACATTTTTCTCAGAATTCTGACTTTAATCTCAGAACTCTGACTTTTTTGTCAGAAGTCTGACTTATTTCTCAGAATTCTGAAAAAAAGTCAGAATTCTGAGAAAAATGTGAGAATTCTGAAAAAAAGTCAGAATTCTGAGATTAAAGTCAGAATTCTAAGAAAAAAGTCAGAATTCTGAGATTAAAGTCAGAATTCTGAGAAAAAAGTCAGAATTCTGAGAAAAAAGTCAGAATTCTGAGGAAAAAAAAGTCAGAATTCTGTGATTAAAGTAAGAATTCTGAAATTAAAGGCAGAATTCTGAGATTAAAGTCAGAATTCTGAGAAAAATGTCAGAATTCTGAGAAAAGAAAAGTCAGAATTCTGAGCAAAATGTGAGAATTCTGAAAAAAAGTCAGAATTCTGAGAAAAAAGTCAGAATTCTGAGGAAAAAAAAGTCAGAATTCTGAGATTAAAGTCAGAATTCTGAGATTAAAGTCAGAATTCTGAGAAAAATGTCAGAATTCTGAGAAAAGAAAAGTCAGAATTCTGAGCAAAATGTGAGAATTCTGAAAAAAAGTCAGAATTCTGAGATTAAAGTCAGAATTCTGAGAAAAATGTGAGAATTCTGACATTTTTCAGAATTCTGACTTTTTTCAGAATTCTGACATTTTTTTCTCAGAATTCTGAAAAAAAGTCAGAATTCTGAGAAAAATGTGAGAATTCTGAAAAAAAGTCAGAATTCTGAGAAAAATGTGAGAATTCTGAAAAAAAGTCAGAATTCTGAGATTAAAGTCAGAATTCTAAGAAAAAAGTCAGAATTCTGAGATTAAAGTCAGAATTCTGAGAAAAAAGTCAGAATTCTGAGAAAAAAGTCAGAATTCTGAGGAAAAAAAAGTCAGAATTCTGAGATTAAAGTCAGAATTCTGAGAAAAATGTCAGAATTCTGAGAAAAGAAAAGTCAGAATTCTGAGCAAAATGTGAGAATTCTGAAAAAAAGTCAGAATTCTGAGATTAAAGTCAGAATTCTGAGAAAAATGTGAGAATTCTGACATTTTTCTCAGAATTCTGACTTTAATCTCAGAATTCTGACTTTTTTCTCAGAATTCTGACTTAAATCTCAGAATTCTGACTTTTTTCTCAGAATTCTGACTTTTTTCTCAGAATTCTGACATTTTTTTCTCAGAATTCTGACATTTTTTTCTCAGAATTCTGACTTTTTTTCATAATTCTGACTTTTTTTCTCAGAATTCTGACTTTTTTTCTCAGAATTCTGACTTTTTTTCTCAGAATTCTGAAATTTTTCTCAGAATTCTAAGAAAAAAGTCAGAATTCTGAGAAAAAAAAAGTCAGAATTCTGAGATTAAAGTCAGAATTCTGAGATTAAAGTCAGAATTCTGAGAAAAAAGTCAGAATTCTGAGATTAAAGTCAGAATTCTGAGAAAAAAGTCAGAATTCTGAGGGGAAAAAAGTCAGAATTCTGAGATTAAAGTCAGAATTCTGAGATTAAAGTCAGAATTCTGAGAAAAAATTCTGAATTCTGAGAAAAGAAAAGTCAGAATTCTGAGAAAAATGTGAGAATTCTGAAAAAAAGTCAGAATTCTGAGATTAAAGTCAGAATTCTGAGAAAAATGTGAGAATTCTGAAAAAAAGTCAGAATTCTGAGATTAAAGTCAGAATTCTGAGAAAAATGTGAGAATTCTGAAAAAAAGTCTGAATTCTGAGATTAAAGTCAGAATTCTGAGGAAAAAAAAGTCAGAATTCTGAGATTAAAGTCAGAATTCTGAGAAAAATGTCAGAATTCTGAAAAAAAGTCAGAATTCTGAGAAAAATGTGAGAATTCTGAAAAAAAGTCAGAATTCTGAGATTAAAGTCAGAATTCTGAGAAAATGTGAGAATTCTGAAAAAAAGTCAGAATTCTGAGATTAAAGTCAGAATTCTGAGAAAAATGTGAGAATTCAGAAAAAAAGTCAGAATTCTGAGATTAAAGTCAGAATTCTGAGAAAATGTGAGAATTCTGAAAAAAAGTCAGAATTCTGAGATTAAAGTCAGAATTCTGAGAAAAATGTGAGAATTCTGAAAAAAAGTCAGAATTCTGAGATTAAAGTCAGAATTCTGAGAAAAATGTGAGAATTCTGAAAAAAAGTCTGAATTCTGAGATTAAAGTCAGAATTCTGAGAAAAAAGTCAGAATTCTGAGATTAAAGTCAGAATTCTGAGATTAAAGTCAGAATTCTGAGAAAAATTTCAGAATTCTGAGAAAAGAAAAGTCAGAATTCTGAGAAAAATTTGAGAATTCTGAAAAAAAGTCTGAATTCTGAGATTAAAGTCAGAATTCTGAGGAAAAAAAAGTCAGAATTCTGAGATTAAAGTCAGAATTCTGAGAAAAATGTCAGAATTCTGAAAAAAAGTCAGAATTCTGAGAAAAATGTGAGAATTCTGAAAAAAAGTCAGAATTCTGAGATTAAAGTCAGAATTCTGAGAAAATGTGAGAATTCTGAAAAAAAGTCAGAATTCTGAGATTAAAGTCAGAATTCTGAGAAAAATGTGAGAATTCTGAAAAAAAGTCAGAATTCTGAGATTAAAGTCAGAATTCTGAGGAAAAAAAAGTCAGAATTCTGAGATTAAAGTCAGAATTCTGAGAAAAATGTCAGAATTCTGAAAAAAAGTCAGAATTCTGAGAAAAATGTGAGAATTCTGAAAAAAAGTCAGAATTCTGAGATTAAAGTCAGAATTCTGAGAAAATGTGAGAATTCTGAAAAAAAGTCAGAATTCTGAGATTAAAGTCAGAATTCTGAGAAAAATGTGAGAATTCTGAAAAAAAGTCAGAATTCTGAGATTAAAGTCAGAATTCTGAGAAAAAAGTCAGAATTCTGACTTTTTTCTCAGAATTCTGACTTTTTTCTTAGAATTCTGACTTTAATCTCAGAATTCTGACTTTTTTTCAGAATTCTGACTTTTTTTCAGAATTCTGACATTTTTCTCAGAATTCTGACTTTAATCTCAGAACTCTGAATTTTTTGTCAGAAGTCTGACTTATTTCTCAGAATTCTGAAAAAAAGTCAGAATTCTGAAAAAAAAGTCTGAATTCTGAGATTAAAGTCAGAATTCTGAGGAAAAAAAAGTCAGAATTCTGAGATTAAAGTCAGAATTCTGAGAAAAATGTCAGAATTCTGAAAAAAAGTCAGAATTCTGAGAAAAATGTGAGAATTCTGAAAAAAAGTCAGAATTCTGAGAAAATGTGAGAATTCTGAAAAAAAGTCAGAATTCTGAGATTAAAGTCAGAATTCTGAGAAAAATGTGAGAATTCTGAAAAAAAGTCTGAATTCTGAGATTAAAGTCAGAATTCTGAGGAAAAAAAAAGTCAGAATTCTGAGATTAAAGTCAGAATTCTGAGAAAAATGTCAGAATTCTGAAAAAAAGTCAGAATTCTGAGAAAAATGTGAGAATTCTGAAAAAAAGTCAGAATTCTGAGATTAAAGTCAGAATTCTGAGAAAATGTGAGAATTCTGAAAAAAAGTCAGAATTCTGAGATTAAAGTCAGAATTCTGAGAAAAATGTGAGAATTCTGAAAAAAAGTCAGAATTCTGAGATTAAAGTCAGAATTCTGAGAAAAAAGTCAGAATTCTGACTTTTTTCTCAGAATTCTGACTTTTTTCTTAGAATTCTGACTTTAATCTCAGAATTCTGACTTTTTTTCAGAATTCTGACTTTTTTTCAGAATTCTGACATTTTTCTCAGAATTCTGACTTTAATCTCAGAACTCTGAATTTTTTGTCAGAAGTCTGACTTATTTCTCAGAATTCTGAAAAAAAGTCAGAATTCTGAAAAAAAGTCAGAATTCTGAGATTAAAGTCAGAATTCTGAGATTAAAGTCAGAATTCTGAAAAAAAAGTCAGAATTCTGAAAAAAAAAAGTTTTTTCCCATATTAAACTGAAAGAAAAGTTAAAAATCTGTTAATTTTTTTTTCAGTGGCCTAATCCTCTTCCGTAATATTAGTTAGTAGCAATGAATTGATTTTTCTTTTAGAGATCAAAACTCACATTTTGTCCAGTAAACCAGTATGACCAGTTAAAACCAGGATGTCATTCAGCAGCTAAGACTGAGAACAAAACCTCCACATTTCAACCTGAAAAGCAAAACAAATGTGAAGCGATAACGTTGGTTAGAGGCTCAGCGTTGGAAGGAGGCGTGGCGTTTCTGTTTCTGCAGGTCTGAGGCTGTCTGTGTGTCTGTCCTCAGGTGAGCAAGCTGCCGGTGGAGAGCTGCGAACAGCACAGCAGCTGCTCCGCCTGTCTGGGATCAGGAGACCCTCACTGCGGATGGTGCGTCCTCTTCAACAAGTAAGGAGCCTTCTACACCTGCTTTATAGAGCAACGAAATTCGCTCTCTGCATTTAACCCATCCCCTGGGGAGGCAGTGGGCTGCTATTGTGCGGCGCCCTGGGGGGAATCGGGGGTTAGGGGTCTTTTGCTCAGAGTGGAAGTCTGTGGGAATGGGTTTGGAACTCACAACCTCAGGATTCCAAGCTCTTTGCCCTAACCTCTAGGCCGACCCGCTAGCTGCTGCTCTGCTCTAGTCTTTCTGAGGACGTTACATCTGAAAGGACGCCGACTTCTAAAGCGACTTTTCCACGAGTAACGATGAGTCAGCATAATTTATAACATCTCCAGCTGATGAATCCGTCTGCTGTGGGCTTATTGTGTTTGAACACTGTTACAGCCACAGTAGCTTTAGCACTAGGCAGCATTCATTTAGCTTCACATCTGCCTGCCTCCTTGGGTTTGCTACCAGAAGGCTTCTGTCTCTCCGGTAAACATCCAGCATGCTTCATCAAGCCGTCTGACAAAAGCCACAAACCGAGCAGCAGTCTAGACGGCTGCTGTTCTGGTGTCTCCACAAATCACATCACTATGGCTGCACTGCAAATACAGACTCCTCCCCCATGGAGATACTACTCCACTACAATGAAAATGATTTGAGCGGCGTTGAACTGACCGACCCTTCCTCAGCTGAACAAATGAGCTGCTAATGGAAAATATGCGTCACTTCTTAGATAACCTTTTTCTTCTCAGAGGACGTCTTAGTGGGCGGGGATTCCTTAAGCTACAATCGGGACAAACACAAACGTGGCAAACTTTCTGTGCGTCATAGAGACAGCCGTGTGAGGTTGATAGCTAGGCACGGCGCTGTATGCATATACATTGGGAAAAATTAAAATCTAGATAAGTCATTTTTTTCTTAAAATAAGTGCATTTGTTCTTGGATTGAGGAAGTAAAAGAGACATTTTGCCAATGGAACAAGACAATTTACATTTAAAATAAGAAAACACAATTGCATAGTCTTATTTCAAGTGCATATTATCCAATTATCTTATTTTAAGAGTAAAAATACTCATTCCATTGGCCAACTGTCTCATTTACCTACTAACATTAAAGGAATAGTACACCCAAAACATGATTAGCCTTCATTTTCTACTCACCCCCATGCTGAACAACACTCTGGAGTACTTTTTTGATATCTCAAATGCATCTGGAGATCTGGGAGGCTTCTTGCTGTGTGCTGACATTCAAATAATGGAGGTCTATGGCGCCCGAGGCAGAAAGGTCCATAAAAGTCCACAAAAAAACGTGTCAATATTCCTCCATACTGCTCGTCCAATGTAATCCAAGTGTCCTGAGTGGGTAGCATCCATAATTTACTCGAAACGAAGTCATTTAGAATGTTTTTAGAGCATAAACAGTAGTGTATAGGATTTCCTGAAAGCGCGTTCACGAAACCGCGGCAGACCAAACCAGATAAAAGTGCGCATTCAGCGTCTGCTCTGCCAATAATGCAAGCGTAGAAGAAGAAATGTGCTGTTTACCTGTGCAAAGAAAGAAACAACGAAAGAAAAATGTCTGAGGACTTCAGTGTTGAGGAAGAGCATGAGTTCTTTGCTGAGCTGAATGTGCACTTTCGTCTGGTTTGGTCTGCCGCGGTTTCCGTAGACTCGTGAACGCGCTTTTAGGAAATCCTATACACTACTGTTTATGCTCTAAAAACATTCTAAATGACTTCGTTTCGAGTAAATTATGGACGCTACCCACTCAGGACACTTGGAATACATTGGACGAGCAGTATGGAGGAATATTGACACGTTTTTTTGTGGACTTTTATGGACCTTTCTGCCTCGGGCGCCATAGACCTCCATTATTTGAATGTCAGCAGACAGCAAGAAGCCTCCCAGATCTCCAGATGCATTTGAGATATCAAAAAAGTACTCCAGAGTGTTGTTCAGCATGGGGGGGAGTAGAAAATGAAGGCTAATCATGTTTTGGGTGTACTATTCCTTTAAGGGTAAATGCACTTAATTTAAGAAATTTTTACTCATTTCTAGATCGTTTTTCCAGTGTAGAGAGCGCCAGGCAGCCCCAGGTCCACCTGATCAGTTCCCAGCGTCTGGATAATGGCTCCCAGTGGTACTTTATCTGTCATAGACACAGTCAGGAGCTCAGATCAACTGGTTAGGAGTTAGTGAACTGGTTGGGTTACCACTGAAATTAGCGGGTTAATGCAAATATGGGTCGACACGCTAACAATCAGCGTTTGGTTTCCTTTCTATTGGCTTTAAAAGCTGGTGTAACCCCTCGCTGGCAGCTGAGTGGCCGCTGTCCCCCCTGCACCTTGGGCCGTTTCTCACTTCAAAAGACCGTGAGTACGGACTCGTGTCCTCGCCAAGTATGAGAAGAACACAGGAAAGTCTGGACTCGGGGAGAACCTGAGCAGCATAGATATTAAGGAAGGAACAGTTTATGAAAACTGTCCGAACCGTTCGGTTCGACTGTCTCGGTTCGGTTCGCGTGTGTTGCGTTCGGTTCATGCGCTGCTCCTTTTTCTCATAGGCGAAGCGTTTACACTCCAGAGCGGCAGGTGGCGGTACTGCGACCAAAGCCGACCACCAGTAGTAAACAAGAAGAAGAAGAAGCGAAGCAGCGTAGCCGGGTGTAGCAGAAAAAAATCAGTTGTTGTGGAGAATTGTGTGGGTATGGCGAGTGGGAAAGAACAGGAGTTGGAAGACGCGCCAGCAGCACTTTATAGGTCTGCTGTATGGGACCACTTTGCATTTAGAGTGACCTACGATGACGGCGGAAAGAAAGTGGTGGATCAAAGTGCAACAGTGTGCGAGCATTGTTCAACACGTTTGGTTTATGCTAACAGCAACATGACCAACATGTCAGACTAACAATCAACATATACCGAACCGAACCGTGGATTTTGCGAACCGTTCCACCCCTACTAGATATGGGTCAGTTGGAACAGAAGCGTACTGATGACATCACTACCATAATTTAGGAAGTATTGACTCCATGAAGAAGACACGTTAGAATGAAGGATTTCTGGTGAACGAACCTCCTGTTGCACCACAGAAGCTTCATATTCAGCCATTCCTGTCGTTTGGAGCTCTGAGGATCCAAACCAAGAAGTTCTCTCCTGCTGGTTCAGCCCATTCCACATGTCCCGGCCTCTCCCCCATCGATTGGTCCAAAGGTTATGACGTCATGATCCAGGCCGGAAGCTTCTGTTTCCATCAAACATGTGGAAAACCGATCCATCCTACCATGATATTCCACCCGGAAGCCTCTTAGCCCAGAGAAGCCGACTGGAGGCGGAACTGGACAACGGTTCCTCTGAGTGATCCCTGCTGCCAGTCATTCCATCACCTATTGATTCTTAATGCTTTTATTTTTGTTTTTATGAAACATTAGAGCGGTTTTATTATTTCATTAATAGATCCAGTCTAGTTTCCACCCCATCCTGATGCTGAACCAGCCTCCTAAAAACCTCCAGCCATCTTTAGATGTCGGCCAACTGACCTTTAACACAGTTCCTCCCTCTACCTTCCCCATGGAGCCGCACTCTGCAGCCTGCGGCTCCATGCGGCTCTATGGACTGTCTATTATGGCTCCTGATAGAGGCTATAAAGAACTAACTAATATATTTTAGAAACAAACACCAGGCTGACGAGCTGTAGTGGTTTTTATAAAGAATTTTAACTGAATCTTTATAACGGAATGACATAAAAAGAATCAGAAATATGTTTTTAGAGCCTTTTTTTAAATTAGCTTGGAAATTATGTTTTTTATCATTATTTTAAAAGGTAAAAATACTAATACACTTTTGGTTGTTTAAGATAAATCAGATTTCCTACGCCAGATACTAAAATAATAGTTTGTGTTTGATATTTTGCGGTTCTTAATGACTTTTTCCTGGTCAGACTCGGGGAATAAAGGCTCTTTGGATATAAAAGGTTGCCATTTACCCCATTTACACTAGCCTTCAAAAACCGATCCATGCCGAGACCGTTCCAAGCTCGGATCAGTTAACCAAGCCGAGCTCGGTTCTGACGACCGTTTACGCATCACGCTATCTCGGTTCCTCGACTTCTCGCCTTCTATTAACGATCTGCGGTATCAGTGTTGCCAACTCCTCAGTAAGGAAAGTAGCTATTGGCTGTGCTAAAAGTCGCTAGAAGTCGCTAAAAGTCGCTAAATGACGTCATCGCCTAATTTGCATAATTTTTTCTGTCCATTAATGTTTATTTATTTATTTTTTATTTATTTACATCCCGCTCGCTCCCGCCTTGAATGTAAGTCAGGGCGGAGCGGTGATCAATTTGCGCCGTCAATCCCGGCGCTTCATTTGCAGTCTGGACACTGAGGGTAAACATCCTGCGGCTCTGACTGCAGCGCTGAGAGGGACTCCTGCAGGAGCGGGAGAACGGGGTTGGGTTGGGGGAGGCGCCTCACGGCAGCAGCTGCCGCTGGAGGACAGGAGTAGGAACGATACATGCTTTCACGTAAGAGTCTCCAAAAGCCGCCAGTGACACCGTAAAAAGTCACCAGATTTGTCGCTAGTCGCTTTTTTGAAAAATAGTCGCTGGAGGGGTCTGAAAAGTCGCTAAATATAGCGACAAAGTCGCTGAGTTGGCAACACTGAGCGGTATTACTGCCATTATTGAAGGAGGAAATCAAGCAGTTGGTGGCGGTAATGCACCAAAAGTTGTTTGCCAACCGCCATAAAACACAAGAAGAAGAAGACGAAGAAGGAGGGAATCAAGCAAATCAAAATGTTGCGTGGAGAAGATTTCGGTTGTTGTTTATGACCGTTTCTCAATTCACGAGAACGCAAGTACGTACTCGCGTTCTCGTCAAGTCCGTTCTTGGCGAGAACGCAGGAAGATCGGACTTGACGAGAACGCGAGCACGCAAGCACGTATGTGTATTGGAGCAGAAGCGTACTCGTGACGTCATCACATGCAACGTTGTTTAGCATTTCTTTAACAGTCAAAACTATTTATTCCCTACACAAAACATTTTGAAAACAATATTTTTAATTTCTAAAGCTTAAAAAACATTAAAAAAAATTACAGAACCGCAAAAAACCGCCATCAGAACGAGCGGTAGTTCACACATAACTAGACCGAGAGAAGTGCACTACAGACGGGGTAAATTTAGCCCTGGCTGCGGTTACCCTCGGAGGTCTGCTGGTCACTCTGGTCCGCTCAACGTTGGACTTTTTTTTTAAATTTCGCACTAACTCTGTAAACAGGCCACACAGGGAGTCTTAAATGTATAATGTTATCGCCTCAAACGATTTCAAAACGTACTTTTGAAGAACAACAGCAGCAGAAAAGGGAATGTTTAACTTAACACTGTGAGCGCTGTCTGGAATCAAGCTGCGGCCGCGGGGCATTCTGGGGAAGCGGTCAGTCTGAAGAACGCACAAGTCTGCTCTGATGCATGCTCGATAAAGAGGGCGGGGCGAGAACAACATCCGGGGATTTGATGCGTTCTCGATCTGGCGTTCTCGAGAATTGGAACGGTACTCGGGCTGAGGCTGATGACGTGTCACGAGTACACGAGCACACGAGAACGCTCAAGAACGCATATTGAGAAACGCCCAAAATGTTGCGTGGAGAAGATTTCGATTGTTGTTTATAAGTTGTTCTTCTTCTGTTTTGTGTCGGTTGGCTAGCAACTTCCGGAGTGGCCTACCGCCACCTACTGGAATGGAGTATGAACCGCGATGTGCAGCCAGACGGAGATGATGCGTTCTGCTCATGCGCTCTTGTTATCAGAGAAAACCAGGGAAAAACCGAGCCGAGCCCACCTCTGGAACTGGCTCGTTAGCTCGGTTCGGTGGTGTCTAGCTCGATTCAGTTCAGTTTGCTTTCCATTTACACACCATAAGTTATCTCAGTTACTGAGCTCGGACCGGTCTTGGCACGTTTTTTTAAGGGTAGTGTAAACGGGGTAATAGATGATCTGCCGCTGGCTTGGCTCATCCTCCCCTTCAATCGGTTCCTTCAGATTAAGCCTTATTGTTCGTCTTTAGTTCCAACCGGTGTCCCCCAAGGCTCTGTCCTGGCATCTTTACTCTTTATAATTCATCTTCTTTCCTTTAAAAATCTATGCAGATGACAGCCAGCTCTATCTTCACTCCTCCTCTCACCTCCTGCTTACTAATCAAAGTCTAAACGCTGATCCTCCTTGTAGGAACCAGATGACCTCCCCTTTGCCTCGGGTCCAGAGTCTGGGTGTTTGTCTCCACAGCACCCTGTCCTCCTCCTTTCACCTCAATAACTTTACTCCTTCTGCTTATTTCCATGTCCTCTGTGTCAACAATCTTCGTGACTTGCTCTGGTCCGTAGCCTCGTGCCGTCCTGCATCCATTACTTCCCTAAAATCCCCTCATTAGCTTCCTGTAGTGCCGAAAGCAGCAGCTCTAACTGTACCGCGTCCTTTCGTGCTCATAAAGGCACTTCTGGATAAAAAGTGTTATTATTTTATGTCTGGACTGTCCAATTATTGTCCGATAATCAGTCTAGTTGTTTTGAGGTGTCCTCAGTGTCTCCATCCTGTCCTCAGATTCTGTTTGCTGTAGAGAAGCAGGAGATGATTCAGGCCGTGGGGTGGGTGTGTGGTTCCCCCCTGAGGCATCATTAATGCTGCTATAAATAGCTCAGCCTCTCATCAGGATGTTTGATGTTCGGCATCCAGGCAGGTGGAGGAACTTCCTCTTTGGAGTTCCATCAGTCAGCCGTCCCTTCAAAGTAAAAGCCTCAGCTAGCGAGATGTCTCTGAAGTTTGGCGATGTCTTCCAGCAGGACGCCGTTAGTCGGACATCAGAGCCTCAGCTCGTAGGTGTGGCTTCAATCTGAAAAGCTCCGACTGATCGATCAGCTTCACCTTTTAATTCCAGTTTGTCCCCCAGGGGCCCCTCGCTCTGTGACCGTTAGCTCATAGGGCCAGTTCTGAGTTTCCCTCAGAAAAAAATTCAGTTCATTAGCCTTCCTCCTCATCCTCCTCCTCCTGTCCATCTGCTGTTAATTAGAAGTAAACAGATCATTACTGCAGGCTGCCATGTTTTGCAGGAGCTGCATATGTCGGAGCTGCTGCTCCGACTCCACCTGCAGCGAAACGATGACTCCGCCGCCGCCGCCTTTTAATTAGCGCCGTTGGTAATCAGCTCTCAGGTGGACGCGCCGAAACCCAAACCTGTCCTTTCCTACTGCCTAACCGGTGACCTTTGACCTTCCCAGGTGTTCCAGGAAGGAATCCTGTGACCGGTGGGAGGAGCCTCAGCACTTCAACACCCGGCTGGACCAATGCGTGGACATCTCTGTCACCCCGAGCAACATGTCCGTCACCTCGCCTGCCACTCAGGTGAGCCGAACGCACCTGTGGGTCTCGGTTAGCGGCTCCGTTCTGCGGGTCTGACCTTCTGCCTCCTCCTTCCTGCCTCCAGCTGACCATCAGGGTGCAGAACGTCCCGGAGCTGTCAGGCGGGGTCACTTGCGTGTTCGAGGACCTGACGGAGACGCCTGGACAGGTGCAGGGCAAAGGTCAGGTGGTGTGCATGTCGCCGTCGCTGAAGGACCTCCCGGCGCACAGCCCTCCCTACGGTGAGATGCAGACTCCGCCTTCAGAACATGGCGGGTGAGAGCGGGTCACTGACCTGCTGGTTGCTTTCAGGAGAGAAGAGGGAGGTGCAGCTCAGCCTTCGCTCCACAGAGACCGGACTGCAGTTCATCTCCACCAGCGTGGTCTACTACAACTGCTCCGTCCTCAGCTCGTGAGTCCAACACCTCCTCGTCTCCGCCAGCTGCTCCCTCAGCGACCAATCACAGCCTCTCTCTCCCCTCAGGTGCACCTCCTGCGTCAGCAGCACCTTCCCGTGTCACTGGTGTAAATACCGTCACATCTGCACCAACAACCTGCAGGACTGCTCCTTCCAGGAGGGACGGGTCAGCGGCATGGAGGTAACCCGTCCAGAACAGAACCCGGTCCAGAACGGGACCTGGTCCAGAGCAGGACCTGGTCCAGAGCGGGACCTGGTCCAGAACAGGACCTGGTCCAGAACAGAGCAGGTCGAGAACGGGACCTGGTCCAGAGCGGGACCTGGTCCAGAACAGGACCTGGTCCAGAACAGAGCAGGTCCAGAACGGGACCTGGTCCAGAACGGGACCTGGTCCAGAACAGAGCAGGTCCAGAACAGAGCAGGTCCAGAACGGGACCTGGTCCAGAGCGGGACCTGGTCCAGAGCGGGACCTGTTCCAGAACAGGACCTGGTCCAGAGCGGGACCTGTTCCAGAACAGGACCTGTTCCAGAACAGGACCTGGTCCAGAACAGGACCTGGTCCAGAACAGAACAGGACCTGGTCCAGAACAGAACAGGACCTGGTCCAGAACAGAACAGGACCAGGTCCTGTTCTGGACCAGGTCCTGTTCTGTTCTGGACCAGGTTCCGCTCGGGACCAGGTCCTGTTCTGGACCAGGTCCTGTTCTGGACCTGGTCCAGAACAGGACCTGGTCCAGAACAGAACAGGACCTGGTCCAGAGCGGGACCTGGTCCCGAGCGGAACCTGGTCCAGAACAGAACAGGACCTGGTCCAGAACAGGACCTGGTCCAGAACAGGACCTGGTCTAGAACAGGACCTGGTCCAGAACAGGACCTGGTCCAGAACAGAGCAGGTCCAGAACAGGACCTGGTCCAGAACAGAGCAGGTCCAGAACAGAGCAGGTCCAGAACGGGACCTGGTCCAGAGCAGGACCTGGTCCAGAACAGGACCTGGTCCAGAACAGAGCAGGTCGAGAACGGGACCTGGTCCAGAGCGGGACCTGGTCCAGAACAGGACCTGGTCCAGAACAGAGCAGGTCCAGAACGGGACCTGGTCCAGAACGGGACCTGGTCCAGAACAGAGCAGGTCCAGAACGGGACCTGGTCCAGAGCGGGACCTGGTCCAGAGCGGGACCTGGTCCAGAACGGGACCTGGTCCAGAACAGGACCTGGTCCAGAACAGAACAGGACCTGGTCCAGAACAGAACAGGACCTGGTCCAGAACAGGACCTGGTCCAGAACAGAACAGGACCTGGTCCAGAGCGGGACCTGGTCCAGAGCGGGACCTGGTCCCGAGCGGAACCTGGTCCAGAACAGAACAGGACCTGGTCCAGAACAGGACCTGGTCCAGAACAGGACCTGGTCTAGAACAGGACCTGGTCCAGAACAGGACCTGGTCCAGAACAGAGCAGGTCCAGAACAGGACCTGGTCCAGAGCGGGACCTGGTCCAGAGCGGGACCTGGTCCAGAGCGGGACCTGGTCTAGAACGGGACCTGGTCCAGAACAGGACCTGGTCCAGAACAGAGCAGGTCCAGAACGGGACCTGGTCCAGAACGGGACCTGGTCCAGAACGGGACCTGTTCCAGAGCGGGACCTGGTCCAGAGCGGGACCTGGTCCAGAGCGGGACCTGGTCCAGAGCAGAACCTGGTCCAAAGCGGGACCTGGTCCAGAACAGAACAGGACCTGGTCCAGAGCGGGACCTGGTCCAGAGCGGGACCTGGTCCAGAACAGAACAGGACCTGGTCCAGAGCGGGACCTGGTCCAGAGCGGGACCTGGTCCAGAACAGAACCTGGTCCAGAACAGAACAAGACCTGGTCCAGAACAGAACAGGACCTGGTCCAGAACAGAACAGGACCTGGTCCAGAACAGAACAGGACCTGGTCAAGAACAGAACAGGACCTGGTCCAGAGCGGGACTTGGTCCAGAACAGGACAGAACCTGGTCCAGAACAGAACAGGACCTGGTCCAGAACAGGACCTGGTCCAGAGCGGAACCTGGTCCAGAGCAGGATCTGGTCCAGAGCGGGACCTGGTCCAGAACAGAACAGGACCTGGTCCAGAGCGGGACCTGGTCCAGAACAGAACCTGGTCCAGAACAGAACAAGACCTGGTCCAGAACAGAACAGGACCTGGTCAAGAACAGAACAGGACCTGGTCCAGAGCGGGACCTGGTCCAGAGCAGGACCTGGTCCAGAACAGAACAGGACCTGGTCCAGAACAGAACAGGACCTGGTCCAGAACAGGACCTGGTCCAGAGCGGGACCTGGTCCAGAGCGGGACCTGGTCCAGAGCAGGACCTGGTCTAGAACGGGACCTGGTCCAGAAGGATTTTGAGTGTAAATTTGCTGCAAAGTTACACTCAAAACCCTTTTTCTTTTCATTAAGAAGTTTTCCAAAAAATCAAACATGTTTTTTTGGGTTTTATTTTTTTTTTTGCAACAATAACGGTAATAAAATCCTCTCCATATAAATGAACCAAAAAAAAAAAAAAAGTCCTGCTTCAGTCTGGTCAAAGTCTCTGATGGAGGCGCTGGGATGGGACCTTGAAGGAGCTGATGCGATGCTGGATGTGACTGATTGAAGAGGTGAGAGTCGTCTGCTGACGGACGCTCTACAGGCTGAACTTAAACCGGTTTATTCAGGAACTCCTTCCTGAATAAACCGGTTTATTCAGGAACTCCTTCCTGCAGGTTTCTGAAGCCTGGCTCCTCTGAGCTGCCCTCTGATCCCTCCTTCCTCCAACACGCCGTATGGAACGCCGCCGCTACCGGATGGACGCGTCCATGATGTGATTGGAGCTCAGTGTCACTGCAGTGAGACAGTGACGCGCTCTGATTGGCTAATTAGTTAATACAAGATGAAAAGTCACTTAATTGACATGAAAGTGCCGAATCACAGCAATTAAAGTTAATTAGCAGGCGATTAGGCAGACGGAGGAGTGGAGGATGAGCGCTGAGAGCGGTGGAGCAGAGTTCCTCTAACAGAACCGCTATTCATTCAGGTTCTGGTCTGTTTTCCACCTGTTCGTATCAGAACCAGACCGACACGCTGCTTTCATGATCGATGGGCCGAAAAGCTGCTGCTGCTCATCCTGAACGTCTGGGAGACGGTTCAGAAACAGAATGTATTCAAAGCAGCTGGAAGCTGGAAAACCAGGAACAGTCAGGGTCCTGCCTCTGGTTTATGCCTGCTTTTTATGCCTGGTTTCTGTTGGTTAGATCTAAAAACAGGTGTAAACGTGTAAAAATTGTCAGATCAGCACAGAAAACACAGATGTTTCTGTAAAATGTTCCGTAAGAGGACAATAGAAGACATTTCCTGTATAAACCTATATTCATTTATACAGATGTAAATATTGCTGTATAAACGAAATTTCGTTTTGTTTTTATGTTCTGTATACAAAATAAAGTTTGTCTAAGTTCCTGTAGTACAACGGAATATTTGGGCCAGGCTTAAATTTTTTTTAGTTTGAGAATAAAATAAATGCAATATTATAAGAAATTTGTTATATTACGAAAATTTCAGAGAGAAAGCTTGTAGCTCCGCCCAGCAGATGACAGGCGACCAGCTCCACCAATCAGCAACCACTTTGACATCCTGCCCAGTTTGATACTGCTGCTAAAAGATTTCCTGATTTGTCAAACCGATGTTAAAGTAGAACTTCACACGATGCTCCACATTCCTCACTTTAGGGAAGAAAGGGATTCTGGGAATAGTTGTCATAAAAACAACTTTATTCTCGTAATTTTACGAATTTATTCTCGTAATTTTAAGAATTTATTCTCGTAACTTTATGACTTTATTCTTGTTGCGACTTTATTCTCTAATTTTACGACTTTATTCTTGTAATGTTACAACTTAAAGGTATACTATGCATCTGGTGTTGATTTTTTCAGCGAGGCTCCCCCCAGAGGGCGAAAGTAAAAGTGCACTGTCGTAAATATGCTCAGCTGTTCTCCTGGTTTCTCCGTCAAGCCAGGCGCGGTTGTTTTGAGCTTAGCAGACAGGCGAACGCAACGAATCACCATGTCTACTGCGGTAAGTGACTATTTAATTCCAATTTTCGAGTTTGAAAATTTAGCATGTTTCCGACATGGGCTTTCGCTGTTTTCTCGCTGGTTCCGCCATGATAACTGCGCAAATATGGCCACTGCGCTAGCAACGAGCATGCCTTTCACTAGGGGCGTGTAGCAGTTCTCGCAGTAAAGCAAGACCGACTCTCGCGATGCACGACACTTCTGAGCCTGTGTGCGGGCCGAGGGCTCCTGCAATTGCAAGTACGGTATTTCCCCTACAGACCACCAGGGCGGCCGAGAAAACCTTTGTTTGACCTGAAATGACTCATTTAATCATCCAAAACGTTATGGAACACATTAATTAACTGAAAAATGTTGCATAGTGTGCCTTTAATTCTCGAAAACCCTCTAGCCTGGCCCTGCTACTCTGTGGTACTGTAGATATTTAGTAGATGATGGAAGTTATCTGAAGGTAGAGCATTTAGACGATGCATGGTGCAGGAGGAGACCCAGCAGGTCCTCCTCCTCCTCTGATTGGTTCCTAAACCGACAAATCCTAAAAAGTTCAGCATCAGTAGAAAAATGGCCACTTTTTTCTGCTTCCTGTGGAGCTTCAATCAATCACCATGGAGACGGTGGTTAATAAGGGTTTGGATCAGTCCCTATCAGTCAGAGCTGCTGTCCTCGCTCACAGATACGGACTGAGATGTGATTCCTGCTTTCGTCAGTCAGCGTCTCTGTTTGTGTGGCCAGATCTTATCAGAACCTCTGGCCAGCGGAGTGAGGAGAGTCTTTAGGAAGCAAGGTCATTGTAGAGCAAACACAGGAAGGAAGAGGTCTGTGGAAGGGGAACAATCTAAAAGTCATTGGACCTGCAGAGCGACGGGACCAGAACCTACAAGTCTGAGAACCTGGTGCTAGATGGAAGGAAACTGGGACATTTCTGGCTGATTCCAGCAGAAATTCTTTGAAACTGTGTCTAAACTAAACTCATCTGTCTTCACAGGGCTGTCCTCAGATCCTCCCCACCGCCGACATCCTCGTCCCCGCCGGGATGGTCCGTCCAATCACGCTGCGAGCTCGGAACCTCCCACAGCCTCAATCGGGTCAGAAGAACTATGAGTGTGTGTTCAACATCCAGGGGAGGGTGCAACGCATCCCTGCCGTGCGCTTCAACTCCTCCTGCATCCAGTGTCAGAACACCACGGTGAGAAGCTCCGCTGTCCTCAGCCCCCTCTGTCCCCTCCCAGCCCTCTGTCCCCTCCACCTCCTGACAGTCCAACCTTGGGCCCAGACGTTTTCAGCTTCTGGTTCTGGTTTGTCCCTGGCTTTAAAATGTCCCTCAGAGTGCCGGGTCGACTGTCCCTCAGATGGCCGGGGCGCCTGTCCCTCAGAGGGCCAGGTCGACTGTTCCTCAACTGTCCCTCAGAGGGCCGGGTCGCCTGTCCCTCAGAGGGTCGGCCTGCCTGTCCCTCAGAGGGCCAGGTCGACTGTCACTCAGATGGCCGGGGCGCCTGTCCCTCAGAGGGCCAGGTCGACTGTTCCTCAACTGTCCCTCAGAGGGCCGGGTCGCCTGTCCCTCAGAGGGTCGGCCTGCCTGTCCCTCAGAGGGCCAGGTCGACTGTCCCTCAGAGGGTCGGCCTGCCTGTCCCTCAGAGGGCCAGGTCGACTGTCACTCAGATGGCCGGGGCGCCTGTCACTCAGAGGGCCAGGTCGACTGTTACTCAACTGTCCCTCAGAGGGCCGGGTCGCCTGTCCCTCAGAGGGCCAGGTCGACTGTCACTCAGCTGGCCGGGGCGCCTGTCCCTCAGAGGGCCAGGTCGACTGTCACTCAGATGGCCGGGGCGCCTGTCCCTCAGAGGGCCAGGTCGACTGTTCCTCAACTGTCCCTCAGAGGGCCGGGTCGCCTGTCCCTCAGAGGGTCGGCCTGCCTGTCCCTCAGAGGGCCAGGTCGACTGTCCCTCAGAGGGTCGGCCTGCCTGTCCCTCAGAGGGCCAGGTCGACTGTCACTCAGCTGGCCGGGGCGCCTGTCCCTCAGAGGGCCAGGTCGACTGTCACTCAGATGGCCGGGGCGCCTGTCCCTCAGAGGGCCAGGTCGACTGTTCCTCAACTGTCCCTCAGAGGGCCGGGTCGCCTGTCCCTCAGAGGGTCGGCCTGCCTGTCCCTCAGAGGGCCAGGTCGACTGTCCCTCAGAGGGCCGGGTCGCCTGTCCCTCAGAGGGCCAGGAAGCCTGTCTTTCATAAGGCCGGGGTCGCCTGTCCCTCAGAGGGCCGGGTCGCCTGTCCCTCAGAGGGTTGGCCTGCCTGTCCCTCAGAGGGCCGGGTCGCCTGTCCCTCAGAGGGTCGGCCTGCCTGTCCCTCAGAGGGCCAGGTCGACTGTCACTCAGCTGGCCGGGGCGCCTGTCCCTCAGAGGGCCAGGTCGACTGTCACTCAGATGGCCGGGGCGCCTGTCCCTCAGAGGGCCAGGTCGACTGTTCCTCAACTGTCCCTCAGAGGGCCGGGTCGCCTGTCCCTCAGAGGGTCGGCCTGCCTGTCCCTCAGAGGGCCAGGTCGACTGTCACTCAGCTGGCCGGGGCGCCTGTCCCTCAGAGGGCCGGGTCGCCTGTCCCTCAGAGGGCCAGGAAGCCTGTCTTTCATAAGGCCGGGGTCGCCTGTCCCTCAGAGGGCCAGGTCGACTGTTCCTCAACTGTCCCTCAGAGGGCCGGGTCGCCTGTCCCTCAGAGGGTCGGCCTGCCTGTCCCTCAGAGGGCCAGGTCGACTGTCCCTCAGAGGGTCGGCCTGCCTGTCCCTCAGAGGGCCAGGTCGACTGTCCCTCAGAGGGTCGGCCTGCCTGTCCCTCAGAGGGCCAGGTCGACTGTCACTCAGAGGGCCGGGGCGCCTGTCCCTCAGAGGGTCGGCCTGCCTGTCCCTCAGAGGGCCAGGTCGACTGTCACTCAGAGGGCCGGGGCGCCTGTCCCTCAGAGGGCCAGGAAGCCTGTCTTTCATAAGGCCGGGGTCGCCTGTCCCTCAGAGGGCCGGGGCGCCTGTCCCTCAGAGGGCCGGGGTCCCTGTCCCTCTGAGGGCCGGGGCGCCTGTCCCTCTGAGGGCCGGGGCCCTTGTCTCTCTCCGGTACCTGAAAACAGGACAATGTTTTTATCCGTATTTGTCCTATTCAACATGTGGGTGGACCTGTCCTTTAGAAAATGTCCCCGTCCTTGACCCCAGCCTGGACCCCATCCCTCACAGAGACACGTCCAGAGGGACGTCACAGATTGATTGCCGTCCTCTGCCTAGATGACACTTGCCATTTGTTGTCCCGCGTTCAGGAGACGCACACACCAACTGTTGTCCGTCTGCTCGCACTCATTTCCTGTCCTTCATCCGTCTTCCTGTCGGCGAGGCTGCCCGGCAACACGCAGACATGCCTCCACAGCGGCTCATTCCGCCGTACAGATGGTCAGTGTGTCTGTATTTAATTACATCTCTGCTCCCAGTGGAAATTGGTCATTTAGTGCCTAAGCACAGAATTCATGTCCCATCAGTTTATGGAACTTTATCCTGGTCCTGCTGCATTTCTTAATCATGCTTCTGGATGTCCTTTGTTTCCAAACCCTGGGAACCCCCCCCCTCTGTTTAATTGCCCAAACCAAGAAGCTCAGAGTCGAGCTTGTCACATTCTCTGTTTAGGACAGAAACTAATGTCTCCAACTAAACAGGTTTATTTTAGAGACTTTTGGCCCTGAAGCCGTTTTTTGCCTTCAGGACTGTTTCTGTTTCTAGTCATGGTTCCTTTGATCGCTCCACCTTTTCTTGGCCTTTCTAGAGCAGTTCAATGTCAGTGCTATCAACATTCAAGGATATACCATTAGGCAATACTAGACAGCTGCCTAGGGCCCCAAGTTCCTGAAGGCCCCATAAAACTCTGTTTACGCGTATGGTTAATACAACTATTCCTTATTTGTGCACATTAATTATGTTTTTGATAAAAATCCTTTGGCTAAAATGCCATCAGAACGCTGATAATATTCAGTGTGTCTCAGCCCCCCCCTTCAGTGTCCACCATATTGGATCAGTCCATTTGCTGCACATGTTCAGAAAGGTCCAAACAGACAGCAGCAAACCATTTGAAAACAAACCATGCAAAGAGCAGTGTTGCCAACTTAGCGCTTTAGTCGCTATATTTAGCCACTTTTCAGACCCCTCTAGCACTTTGATTTCTAAAAAGCTCCTAGCGCCAAATCTAGCGACTTTTTTCTGCTACTGGAGACTTTGGAGACAACATCTAAAAGCAGCGAACTCTGCTCTCCAGAGCAAGTAGATTGGTAACCCCGCCTCCTGCTCTCCTCTATCTTGTCTGCTGTCATGATTCATGCAGCTATTATTTCATCCAAATGAAAAATGGAGAACAGATAAGCAGATCATGGCTTGTCTACAGTGAAAAGAAGGACTGGGTTATTTACTTTGGCCTTTTTGGAAACACAGGAAGGAGCAATCAGCTAAGTGAGCTTAGTGCTTGGAAAAAATCTTTCATTCCTTTAGAGACAGCATGAAAAGTCAGCTGAGTACAAAACATAGAGAGGAAAACAAGAAGAAAAGGGACAAGAAGAGAGGGACACAACCTAGAACAGATAATGGATGTCTATTCTATTAACATTTCTCTATCTGGAGAATGGGGCTGTTCTATGTGTTGTCTTCTCTATTCAGAGGGGCCCCTGCCTGTCTTTGACTAGGGCCCCAAATTTCCTAAATCCGCCCCTTGTAGCTACCATAGTGACCATAGGAAACAGGCTTTCTGAAGTGCTCCAGTTTGTTTTATTGCAGTTTGCTGAATACAATTTTATATTCATCTCATTTTAAAGGAAGATTATTGTACTGATTTTATTAAAAGAAAAGTTAATGATTAATTTAGCATTAATCTGTAAAAAAATAAAAACAATATTCAGCACGATCACTGAGTCTGCGAGCGGCCATCTTTGCCCAAATATAGTAGCCCCTCCCTCCTGCCATCTTCCAGCAGTGACGTCACGGTGCGGTAAGCCTAGCGCCATTCTCCCCGCTTTCCAAGCTAAATCAATGGGAACTACTAGACACATCTGCAATCAACAACAATTATTGAAGATTTCCAGAGGACTTCACCATTGAAATTCACCAGAGCTATAGTGAAACTGACAATGCCCACGTGCATGGCAGCTGGATGCTGGAATACATCGGGTAAAAGTGAAAATAAAGAGTTATTCCACCTTTCTGATTCCTGATCCTCCACGGACGGGTTGGTCGTTGGATCGCCAACTTGAAGAGGGAGGATTTGCCATCGAACTTCTGGCCAGAGAAAAAACCCGTAATATGTAGCCAACATTTGGAAGAAGAATGTTTTCAAGATGACTTGGATAATAGCGCGTTGTGACAAACACCAGATACAGCACTGGGACTTGATCAACAGCCGATACCGCACCGTGACGTCACTAACCAGTAGGTGGCAGTAGTGTTCTTTGACAAACATGGATGCCTCCAGTAAAGCACATTCACAGGAAAATTACTCTGAATTAAAAACACTGATCATTTATTGAACAGGATGGAATCATTTCAGATTTAAAGAACTTTCAGAAGTTTGAATTCTGAATATGAGCGACTTTTCTTTAAATAGAAGGGGGCCACGTTTAGCTCCCTGTGGGACGCCTGCCTCTTGTTTTCTTTCGCTTCTTTGGGCTAAAAGCCGCTGGTGTCTGATGTTGTTAATGAAAATTTAGAATCACATTTTATTCAGTTTTATTTTTTATCTGTACCTCTATAACTGTAAGGAAACATGGAGGCCTGTATTGGTGTCACGGGTAGGAATGGATCCTCTATTCGCCGCTGGTCGACCCTCATCGACGCTGCGTTTGTCATGGAGGTTCAGACGTCTTGTGAACGTTTGGTTTGCTGAGTTTCTCACAGGGAGCAGCGGGTTGCTTTTGGTCGGTCTGCTCGGTCAGCCGTTGATGTATGACCATCTGATGGCGCTCTCATATAAAAGCAGGTGTGACTGATTAAGGTCTGATGTGAACCGACAGGCGGGTATTAAACCTCCTCTCTCAGCCTCAGTTAGCAGAAGCTCCTCATCCATCTCTCCATCTTCACCTCCAGTTATTCCACTGGGGGTTCTGCTAATCCCCCCCTCCTCTTCATGATATTTTCTTTTTTGATCCCCCATCGGCTGCATTTGTTGCATTGTAGAGGAGTAACGATGTTCCACCTCCTGATGTTTCCAAAAACATACCATTCTCTTTAAACTAAAACAGTTTGGACGATAAAAAGTGTAAATTTGGTTTCTATCATCAGCAGCGGCCCCTTAACCACCGCCCCACCGGGACTTGGGTTACCTTGGCAACAAAGGATCAACATTTCTTTCATATTTTTCAATTAGTGGGTCCTTAGGTGTGGCTGGTTGGTCTCTCTGAGGGGCCTTTAGGTCAGTTTGTGTCTGAAGGGCCCTTAGTTGGTCCCCTAAGCCTGAGTGGGTCCTTGTTCTGGACCTGTCCAGGAACAGAACCAGAATAAATGGACTCTGGACTTAAACTGTCTTTAGTTTGATCCGTTTCTGAGGAATTGGGTCAGGGTGTATCAGTCCATCTCGACGGTGGCGTCAGCTGTAGGAGTTGCCCTGAAATCGAAGGGTTTCAATGTGATTCTTGGGTAAGACCTCCACCTCCTCAACTGATGGTGGTCAGAGGGACTGGTGGCGCCAGTGTACGGCAGCCTCGCTTCCATCAGTGGCTTACCACCATCAGTGTGTGCGTGAACGGGTGAAATGACTGAATACAGTGTAAAGCACTTTGGTTGAGTCTCCTGAGGTGAAAAAAGCGCTATATAAGTACAGGACATGTATCATTTTACCATCTCATGTTTATTCGGTCTTGGTTCCAACCAGAAAAGTCCACATTTTGGTTCTTTTCATTAATACAATCTGAAAAACTCACATGGAAAGAAAAAGACAATTAGAAGAAGTTAATTGATACAATTACTTTAGTCTTTGGCGTTCAGACTTCAGCAGGAAACATTAGAAATGAATTTGCTTTGATATGCATGAGCAGGAGTAAAGAACATTACACTGGAAAATTTATCTAGAAATAAGTAAAATTTCTTAAATTAAGTGTACTTACCATTAGGGACGCACAATATAATCGGCCCCCTATCGGTATCGGCCTTAAAACTGAATATCGGACATCGGCCACCCCACCGATATTTAACCCGGTTTCTAAAGTCTAAAAAAAAAAAAAAATTAAAACTTAAAAACTTCTAAAGACGAGGGAAAAAATATTGATCCATTAAAATATCCCAATATCTTCATATGCTGATATATTGCCATTTAAAAACACCATATCAATCTCTTTTACTAATGAAATATTGCTATATGTCATCGTTATGCTACGAAATCCCCCTAAAATTCACCAAATGTTGCCATATTTTTATATGTTGATATATTGACGCGGTATCGATCTATTTTACTAACAAAATCTCACAAGAATTTGCAAAATATCACGAGAGTTTGTAACAGAACGATTAAATTTCACCAGATTTTGAAAGTAAAATAGATCGATACCGCGTTTTTAAAAATCAATTTGATATCAGCATATGAAAATATATTTGAGTATATTATTTTTCAAAGTGTCAGAAATGGATAAAAAAACTGCTATTTTCAATGACTACTTATTTTTGTCCAGCTTTAACATCAGTATCGACATCAGTATCGGCTACATGAGTTTTAAAATATCGGCATATCGGATATCGGCCAAAATCCCAATATCGTGCATCCCTACTTACCATTATATTCCAACATCTAGAAACACACTGCTAAACAATCTAGAAATAAGTAAAGAATACTTAAATTAGGTGTATTTACCCTTAATTTGAGTAGGTAAGTAAGAGGATTTGCCAATGGAATAAGTATTTTTACTCTTAAAATAAGATAATTAGATAAAATGCACTTGAAATAAGACATTGCAATTGTTTTTTTTCTTAATTTAAATGTAAATTGTCTTGTTCCATTGGCAAAGTGTCTCACTTACCTCCTCAATCCAAGAAAAAATTCACTTATTTTAAGAAAAAATGACTTATTAAGATTTACATTTTTTGCAGTGGGAAGGTGTTGATGGCAGCAGCACAGCTGATATTTCTCTCCAGGATGGAGTCACAGCCAAATAGGAACAGACCAGATGAAGCTACTATGAGAAAAAGCAGAGAGAGCAGAACGTTAGAGATTGAACTAACAGATTCGGCAGAGTGGGAGAATAGAGATAGAATGAAGCAGAATGATGAAAAAGGGGTCCCTATGTCCTCCAGCAGTCTAAGCCTATAGCAGCAGAACTATAGAGATAGCTCAGGATAACCTGAGCCACTCTAACTAGAAGCTTTATCAAAGAGGAAAGTTTTAAGCCTAGCCTTAAAAGTAGACTAGGTGACTCTTCGAGAATCCTTGAAGGTTCCAAACGTTCCCAACAATCGGCACTTCAAAGTTCTGAGAGGGTCGATCCAGTTGGTTCCATCAGACCGATCAGCTGGACTCATTCACTGTCACCACCCAGAGGTTAAAAGGTCTTGGTTGGATTCATGCAGCTTCTAGAACCTTCAGAACCTCATCAGCCAAGTACATTTCCTCCTGTGTCTTTCTGCCATGGAATGACAGCGGCTCTATAGATCAATACGGACTAGAATAACTCTCATAACGATGAGAGGATGAGCTGCAGCTGCAGACGGAGCCCATTAGGCGCCGTCTCAGGAACCGATGCAGAATAAATGATGCTGATTAATTAGAGCCTTGGGATTGAAGCCAATCGTCGGTTTTAGATGTCGGGATCTCCGTTCAGCACATCAGATGTTTTCCGTCCGACTCGTTGGTTGTTGATTAACAGGAAATTTTCCTAAAGCCAGTTTGTGTGTTTCTGCAGTATACGTATGATGGAGACGAGGCCGGAGATCTGCAGGTGGACTTCTCCATCGTCTGGGACGGAGACTTCCTCATCGACAAACCTGCCTACATGAAAGGTGACCCTGAAAAACCTTCCGCCTCAGTTTTTATGGCAGAGTAAAGAGAAAAGGTTCTGATTCTGGTCGGTCATCCTGTGCTTCTTCTCAGTGTCGCTCTATAAGTGTGAAGCTCAGCGCTCCAGCTGCGGTCAGTGCCTCAAAGCGCCCTCTGTCTTTGAATGCGGGTGGTGTGTGGAGAGCAGGAAGTGCCTCCTGCGGCAGCACTGTCCGTCCGCCGAGCAGAACTGGATGCATCATGGCCGCCACAACGTGCGCTGCAGCCATCCGCGCATCACTATGGTAGGGCCTAGTTCCGTCGATCCGACCTGCTGCTCAGACGATCAGCTCGTCATCGGCGCCTCCTCTCTCCTGTAGATCGACCCGCTAACTGGACCGCGGGAGGGCGGGACCCGGGTGACCATCGAGGGCGAGAACTTGGGTCTGCAGGTGAAGGAGATCACTCACATCCAGGTGGCCGGCGTCCGCTGTAACCCGGTCCCATCGCTCTACATCAGCGCCGAGAGGTCAGTGTAGCCTGTGTGGTCGGACGCGTTCAGGTGGACCGGTTCTGACTCTTCCTGGATCGTTTGCAGGATCGTCTGCGACATGGCGGAAGCGCTCCTCCCCCACTCCCCCGGCGGACCCGTGGAGCTGTGCATCGGCGTTTGCAGCGCCGAGTACCGGACTCTGTCTACCCAGACCTACTCCTTCGTGGTGAGTGTTTGACTGGACCAGTTCCACTGTGACCCGGTCCAGTTTACCTAAACCTTACTTTATCTACATGGGAGAAAACATTCAGATTCAGCTTATTGGTGTTTCCAGAAGAATCTTCTCTCAACCAACCGTCTGTTTATCACTTTATTTATAAAGCATCATAAAGCACCAAAGGGCTGAACAAATGGAACAAATTATTTAGATAAATAAAGAACTGTTGATCATTAAAGTAGAAACATGTTTGACTCAAGGAGAAGATGTAGACCTCAGAAGTTAATCAGAAGTCGTTTCAGTTTTGAAGATATAAACAAATATAAACCTTAGTTTGCCACCAGGGGCCGGTGTGAGAGGAAGAGAGCCCCTCTGACCCGGTGGTGGGAGCGATTACTTCCTGCCCAATGACCCTAAAGGCTGATTTATGCTCAGAAACCAGATCGTCTGTGTGTCTCGCAGTTAACCTAGATATGCCCTGCCCCTTCCGCAGACACTCTGCTGCACCTCTTCGAAATTGTAGGTGATCGCAGACAGGAGGCCTCTGATTGGTCAAATCTCCACTGCTCTACTCTATGCGTATTTCCTGTTTGGTTTCTTACCGGCTTGTTTTGTTTGTCTGACCGCCATTGTGGAAAACGACTGGTGAAGTTGGAGCAGCTAGCAGAGCGAGGTGCGCGAGAACGCTGGGACCCTTTTTCCACCTGGATCCCCGCTCTTTTTGGCCCTCATGTCCCTCCGTTGTAGCACAAACTTGCCCCCACTTCCTCAGCGCCTCGGCCGTATCTAGACCCACAGCTAGTTCCTGATTGGCCCTCTGGCGTTGTGGTGTGGAATAACAGTGACTTTACGCTCCATGATTGGCTGAACGTTGCCACATGACGTAAAACATTGTGGTTGCCCAGACAACAATAACATCACGCAGCGTCTGTTTGCCGAATCGGTAGCATCTGTAGCGTTAGCGTGTCTAATGATCGATGAAGTTTTACCTGATCGATAATAAAACTGAAAAAAATGGTGAACAAAGTAACTGTTAGACCGTGATATAAAGAGCTGGGTACCGCTGTGGCTAGCTGTGCTCAGCTAACAGGTTAGCCTCTGTTAGCTCAGGCAGTTAGCCATATTAAGCTACACTACTTTTAACTTTGTGTCATCAACAGCTGTTTGTTTCTACAAGTAGAATAACGGTTTTATTTGTCTAAAAATCTACGAAAGTCAGTTTTTAAGATGTTCCATTTGTCCTCCTCTGCCCTCAGATTTTAATAAAGACCTAAAATAAGCTGAGACTTTTTGTGTGTCCTTGTTAAATGGCAGAACTCAATCTTTGAACGCAGGGCTTTCTTTCCAGACCGACAATGATTGTTTTCTACTTTCGGCTACTTTAGATCTCAGATGAAATGTAAAATCATAGCAAATATAGGGAATAATTAGCCTCGTGAGACCATCCTGATCTCGCGAGCTTTCAAGGTTTCACTCGCTAATCAGTCTGGAGACTCTCCGTTGAAGAAAATTTGGAGCCGTTCACCAAACGAACGTCCAATCAGCGTTGGCTTTGAGGCGGGTTGAAGTGTGACGCAACGAGAAGCGCGACAGTTCAGTCTAAAAAACATGGCGGCTTCAGCCGATGAAACTAGCGTTAGCGTGGCTATCGAGCAAGTTTTATCGGAATTACAGAGTATTTCTTCACTAAAAGAAGAGCAAAACACTGCTCTGGAGGCTTTTCTCAGAGGAAAAGATGTTTTTGCTCTTCTCCCGACTGGTTTCAACAAGAGTTTGATCTATCAATTGGCTCCTCTTCGTCGTCGCTCTGTTAGTACGTCATATGCTTCGTTGATCTGATTGGTTTATTTGGCCCGTCTATCACCAACATAGGCCAATCAGCTAACCAGTATTTTCGCCCCTTCCCAAAATTACTTCAACGGAAGGTTTCCGGAGTCAGGTTAGGTAATAATATCTTGAGACTCCAAAAGTCTGAAAAATGTGATGCTTAAGAAAAGGTGCAATACAGTTTGTCTGAGTGGAGTTTCCATATGATGATGTCACAAGAAAGGGCAGGACGTCGAGCAGATCTGGTACCCACACCATCCACAACACCTGGCACACCTGGGACACTATCCCAGACACCGTGCAGGACGCTAGTTTGTAGCTCTGTGCGACGGTCTGTTGGTTTGCATCTGAAGCCAAAACACGCAGTGCCACAGCCAGTCTTTGGGGAACACTCATGGGTGAACTGTGCATCGTGTCACTACCTGATCCATCCGGGAAACACGATCCGTCCTGCGCATGCCCCATTTACGCATGCAGATATACATCAGGGTCACCCTCGATTTTATTTTGTTATACCTAAATTTGTTTTTCCCTCCCCAAAAATAGTAAGCGTACTAAAATATAATGTGTTAAAGGTTAATAATGTATTTCCTGAGAAAATAAATGCCTTAAAATCATTTCTGTTTACGTTACTTCCAGGAGCTAATTTTGTTGGCTTTGGATTTAAACATAAATCTAGTCTTTTTGAGTTTTATTTTCTCCTTTTGCATTACCATTATGCTATATAGTGCATAATCTCAAGAAAGAAAGAACTAAAATGCAGATAAACGCGGTTTAATCAGATTTTGCTGGACTCGAGCATATCCCATGATGACATCAGAGAAGCTGTTTAGCGGAGAATATGTAAAAAACATCAAAATTGACTCAGAAAAGTTATAAAAGCATTTTTTGAAGTTGTGCATTAGCATTCTTCAGTGAGTTAAATATATAAATAAGTAATTTTATTACCATAATTACATTATTTATGGAAACCCGGATGTATATCTTTCGCGCATGCGCAGGACGAATCGTTTTTCCGGGACAGACCGGGTAGTGACATGTCGCCCGGCGTTGGATGAGGGGTTGTAGACGGCGAACAAGCTTGTCAAAAAGTGCAGACCATGCATCATGGAAAATATCTGCAGCATACCTGCAAAAAGCTAACTGCGACACACTGCTGCAGGAGGATAACCATCCTTTGAGAGCGATGAAGTACTAGTGAAATACAGTCAGGACTTTTACCGGAGCCTAGATGGTACCGTCTCGGCCCGGTTTCCTTCATGTCCGCAGTAACGGTACGTAGACATGTGGTACCAGAACTTCTCTGGATCAAAGCTCAAAAAACCCGGAACCTGGCACAGAGAGGAGATGGGACTGATCCAGGATCTTTTTCTAAAAAACAAACTTTTAAAAAAACTTTAAATGGTGTTTTTCTTTATAGAGGATAATTTTCTCAATGGTTAAAAGTAAAACTTTAAGTTCTGCTTTGGTTTCCACCCTCAGAGCCCAGGTTTTACCCGGATCCGTCCGCTGAAGGGGCCCGTTTCTGGAGGAACCAGGCTGACAGTTATCGGTCGACACCTGGATTCCGGCAGCGGAGTCACCGTCTACATCCACAAGGAGGAGTGTCTGTTTGTGAAGTGAGTCCATCTGTTGCCTCTAAGCAGCGCTTCCTTCATCCAGATGACATTTTGTTCTCAGGACTTATTCTACGTTCAGACCGCACCCATCAAGAGCAGCAAAAACGCGCTGCCTGCTGCATTTTAGATGCTTGTAGCAGTTTGGTTCTGACAGCGGCTGAAGCATCTTTGCTGCTCTAGCTGCGCAGCCTAAAAGTGGGTCTGATGCGCGGTGGGCGGAGCTACCCTATCCTTTCTTTACCTCGAACAATGGCAGCTATATTAGCTGTGATCAGCGGGTAAAAAGTAGTTAGAATCTATGTTGAAGTGAGAAAGTCCTCCTGAAAACATGGTCTGTGCAGTCAGTTCATCCAGATTACCATCCTGCCTTCAAAGATAATTTCTCTGTGGGAGCCGCTCAGACCCCCACATACCGGCGCTGCGCTGTCACTGGGAATCCCCAGCAGCAGCTGCCTCAGGCCCGCTCGCCTCTTGGGGGTTTTCCCCTCCTGTTGGTGGCGGCTGGAAGTAGATGTTAGCGTTTTTCCCGTACGTAATCCAAACTGGAGGCACCAGGATGATAAATTTAACATATTTTGCCAGCAGGTTTCATTAATAACCTGTTTCAGAGGAGTGATCATAGCGCTCTGCATCAGCAGCGCTGTGTCTGACTCCCTGCCAGCTCCCAGATCAGCTTCTCTCATTGGTTGATGCGGCGCATCCAGCAGCTAAAGTTCAATTTTTCCAACTTGAGCAGCTGCTGCTTCTGAAGTGCGTCAGATGCCCAGAAGCTCATCAGCTGCTCTAAACGTGCTGCAGGACATTTTGCTGCACCTTTATGTGCGACAACCTTTGATTTTGCATGTAAACTAGCTGCTTCTGCAGGGTGCGCTCTGAATGTAGCATAAAACTGCTTCTGCTCACAGTGGCATCAAAATAAAAAAACACAATATTGCCCTGCGATGGACTGGTGACCCATCCAGGGTGGATCAACCACGGTAGAAATGAATGGAGGACCCATAGAGTCACTGAAAAAGAAAAACAGTCATTTGTAACATTTCAGTCACACAATTTGAAAAGCATTTTCTAATTGCACATTTTAAAATTCATTATTAGCCAGGACTTGTAAATTGAATTTTGTTTTTAATCCATTATTAAATCCTGGAATTTGATTTAGAGAAAGGATTTGAAAATACATTTAGGAATGCCAGTATTTAATAAAGCATTAATAAATACAATTTTAAATTCCTCTTAATAATTAATTCATAAAAATTTATTTTCAAATTACATGATTTAAATTCAAAATGGCTGGCTTTCTTTTTCAGTGAATGTCCTTCATAAAGATGGTGCTCTGTCAAGGTTCAGAACAGAGGACCCAGAATTCAGACAGACGGACAGTAAAATATCTCAAAGGGCGTTTATAAAAAAATGAGGGATCTGCAGTGAGCAGGTAGGGCGTCTAAGGCAGGAACCTCTGGTCGTAAAGTTCAGTCCGTGCCCAGAGGAAGAGGGGGATTCCAGCCGTACAGCTGCCGAAAAGATGCAGTTCAGAAGGGATCCGGGCCAGAAGGTCAGAGATCCGAAGAGGTTCCCAAAGGGAAATCCAAGTCGGCTTTTGGAAGCAGTTCCAGGATTGGTCAACAGGTAGAATCCAGCAGGAGTTCAAAGACGGGTTGGGCAAACAGATCAGAACGGGAAAAGACAGGCTCAGAGGTCTTAAGGCAGAATGGGTCAAGATCAGGCAATCAGAACCCAAACAGGTAGGCTAGAGAACTCACCAAAGGCTCGAATAATCTGGCACTGATGACTGGAAGCAGGTAGGTTAAATAGAGCAGGTGACACAGATCAACGGTGATGAGAAACTGGGGGGAGCTAGACAGGTGAACGGAATAAGTAATTTGACCATTAAAAGGCAAAGATCTGGGGACCTTTTATCGATCCCTGAGGAACTCCAGGTTTAAAACTAGCACTAACAGAACTCTCTCCTTCTGTAGACGCACGAATCGGGAGATAGTCTGCATAACTCCCGCCTCCTTGTCTGGCACCGGCCCCGCCCCTGTGCGTCTGATGATCGACAGGGCCGAGGTGACCAACTCTGATGTGGGTTACATCTACACCGACGACCCGACCATCTCCAGCATCGAGCCGAACTGGACCATCCTGAAGTGAGTCCTTTTGACTTTAATACAACTTCAATTATAGCCCCGGATCAAGCTGCATTAACCACTGAAAAACAGGACCGAGTTTATCGACAGAAGAACGAGAAAATTACCGGCAGCTCAGCCGACGGGCTGCTCCAGAACAGTCACAGCTGAACAGAACCAAGTCAGGAAAAACATGTTAAATGTTAACTATTGAATAATCCAAAACTTGAGAACAGAAGTAAAATGAAGCAGAGGGAGAAAAAGGTTGTCTTTGTGTCCTCCAGCAGTCTAAGCCTATAGCAGCAGAACTATAGAGATAGAATGATGAAAAAGGGGTCCCTATGTCCTCCGGCAGTCTAAGCCTATAGCAGCAGAACTATAGAGATAGCTCAGGATAAGCCTAGTTTTAAGGCTAGCCTTAAAAGTAGACAGGGTGTCTGCCTCACGGACTAAAACTGGTAGTTGGTTCCACAGGAGAGGAGCCTGATAACTAAAAGATCTGCCTCCCAATCTACTTTTAGAAGTTCTAGGAACCACTAGTAAACCTGTAGATTGAGAGCGAAGTGCTCTGTTAGGAACATAAGGAACAATCAGATCTCTGATATAAGATGGAGCTTGGCCATTTAAGGCTTTATATGTGAGAAGGAGGATTTTAAATTGTGGATCCAACCCTAGAAACTGAACCCTGTGTGTGTTTCTCCAGTGGCAGCACAGTGATAACCGTCACAGGAACCCACCTTCAAACCATCCAAGAGCCCAAAGTTCGAGCCAAATATGGAGGAGTGGAGACCAACAACGTAAGAACAGTTTCCTCCCTCACTAGTTCTCTTCATCGTCGCTGTGGTGCCTCCTCTTCATCACTCCACTCTCTCTGCTCTCCAGTACTGTACGGTGGTCAATGACAGCACCATGACATGCTTGGCTCCTGGTCTGATCTACAACAAACCCAACCCACCAGAGGAGGCGCTGCGGCCCGACGAGTTCGGCTTCATCTTTGACCAGGTTAGCTCTACGTCCGTTTCACCCGCTAAATTATTGTTATTCATCTATGACAATGGAAACTCTGCATTCTATGACCCATTTAATGGACTTATACAAGAAAAGAAAACAGGCGTTCTGTCACAGAGTGATTGCTCTGCAGTTCCTGGAGAATGCTAACCAACCGGTGAGCAGATGGAGAACAGGTACACAGAGCGGCACCCACCAGCAGAGATCTCACTCTCATCCACAGCAGCTGAACCAGTGGGAGGCTCCTCTTCCTCTTTGGTTCCCTGGACAAGGTGGCGGTTCTGAATGGACCAGAACCAACCACATACACTCTCATAGTTCTACAGGGGGTCCACTGCAGCTTCCTCTTTAGTGGTTTAGTAAATGAAAACATTTACTAGACCTGATGTCTAACCGGGACAGTTTATAAAAGAATAAATCAGCCATGATGTACATGGATGGACATGAGAGGAAGCAGATGACCTCAGATCTTCTGCTTCTCCTTAATGAAAGAATCACCTACTGAGAAAATGGCAAAACTGTTTCAATGATCAAGAGCTTCAAACTGCTCAACAGGTGGCTGCATCTGCATGAGCAGCAGCATAGATCTGTTAAAAACCTTGAAGAAAAGGTTAACCCTGTTAGGGTTGTTAAGTTTCCCCAACTTTAACCTATAAAAAATGAAACAAAGACTTAAGATGTAAGATTTTCCTGAAATGCTTTCCAAAGGAGAGACGGAGTATCAATCTCTGCATCTCCGCTTGGCTCAACACTTGCAGGCTTTTTATTGAGCAGTCAACACATACGCAATCTCTTAGACATAGCATGAACTTTTAAGATAGGGAACTTGCCTGGTTTCAGTATACGCTTTACACAAGGTGTCGAGGTTATGAACTCTCACTTCTGTGCTTCTCAAAGGAAAAACAGGAAAGCATTCTTGCAAAACATTTGACCGTCTCATGGCCTTCATACACTATTTCCAATGATGAGTAACATATAGAAAAACAAATGATTGAGAGCAATATAAAACATATAAATGAATAAAATTATAAAAACAGAAATCATAAGAACTCCAACAAACCCGATCCTGTGCAGAAAGAACAAGGATGAGCAACGTAAATCTGGAACCAAGTTATCTTCTCTGATGAATCGTCCTTCTGGTGGTTTAGGGTGTCTGGAGAAGAGAAAGCTAACTGCCTTAATGAAATGGGATCAAGAGCAAACATCTAGAAGTGATGAGCTAAAGCCACAGCGGAGTGCTGAGGGGTGAAGGCAGAAGAAAAGGGCTGAAAGAATCGAACACTGAAATGCTGGACCAGGACCAAGGAGACCCTGGGCTCTGATTTTAAACAGCAGACAGGAACCAAGAACTGGGTCAACTTTAAACACCAAGGAGACAAGAATCAGTCACCAGCTGCGTATTTCGGTTCCTTCTCACAAGTATTCCCAGAATCTACAACCATGAGAAAAATGTGCAAAATAAGTCGCTACACTGGAAAAACGATCTAGAAATGAGTAAAAATTTGTTAATTAAGTGCATTTACCCTTAATTTGAGCAGGTAAATGAGATAGTTTGCCAATGAAATGAGTATTTTTACTCTTAAAATAAGATAATTAGATAATATGCACTTGAAATAAGTCAATGCAATTGTGTTTTCTTATTTCAAACGTAAATTGTCCTGTTCCATTGGCAAAATGTCTCTTTTTTTCTCCCTAATCCAAGAACAAATGCACATATTTTAAGAAAAAAAGTAATTCACTATTTTTATGTTTTATATTCCCTCTAAAAAAACTACATCTACATTAGTAGCCATTCAAAATTTCCTTGGTTTCCTTGATGGATCATCGGCTGGTTCCATAAAATTCCTTTTTTAAACGTCAATCTTTGCAATAAAATATTCTTTTGTCATTTTCATCTTGTGGACATTAAGATCTAAAGAAAAGCGCCATAATTCAGTGAAAGGGTGAAATCAGAGTAAAAGAATATGCACGCCCAGGAGAAGCAGGGGGTTGTTAATCTTTCTATGAATAGTGAAATGAAATGTGATATTTTCCACCTGTCCAGGTTTCTTCTCTGCTTGTCCTCAACTCCACCCCTTTCACCCACTACCCGAACCCCACCTTCGATCCGCTCGGAACATCTGGGATCCTTGAGGTGAAGCCGGGCTCTCCCATCATCCTGAAGGTGGGACTTTAACAGGAAGTGATGCAATGTGATGCAGGTAGGATGTTTAATACCTGAGCTGGCCTAACAGGTGTGTGTTCTGTACTCCAGGGTAAAAACCTGATCCCTCCAGCTCCCGGAAACAACCGCCTGAACTACACGGTTCTGATTGGAGATTCTCCTTGTCTGCTGACCGTCTCTGAGAACCAGCTGCTGTGTGATTCTCCTGATCTGACAGGAGAACACCGGGTTGTGGTGAGTTCAACTTTGCCCCGGTCCGCATCTGTGAGGAACATATAATTCAGATGATGAGCCAGGATTTATAAACACTGAGCTTTCTCTTTCTTTAATCCAGGATTTAGAAACATTTAGTCTGTCCAGCTTTTAATCAATGATCACTAAACACTGAGTTTCTCAACCTTTAAAACAGGATTTATAAACACAGATTTCTTCAATCTCTAACTCAGGGTTTCCAAACACTGAGCTTCCCTCAACCTTTAATCTGAGATTTATAAACACTGAGCTTTCTCAAGCTTTAACTCAGGATTTACTGAGTTTCCCTCAACATTTAAAACAACATTTATAAACACTGAGCTTCCTTCAACCTTTCATTTGGGATTTATAAACACTGACTTTCCACAATCTTTAATTCAGGATTTAGAAACACCTAGTCTCTCCAGCTTTTTGTCAGCAATTTTAAACACTGTGTTTTCTCAACCTTTAACACTGGATTTATAAACATTGAGTTTATAAAACACAGATTTATTCAATCTATACCTCAGGGTTTCCAAACACTGAGTTTCCCTCAACCTGTAGTCTGGGATTTATAAACACTGAGCTTCCCTCAACATTTAAGACATGATTTATAAACACTGAGCTTCCCTCAACATTTAAGACATGATTTATAAACACTGAGCTTCCCTCAACATTTAAGACATGATTTATAAACACTGAGCTTCCCTCAACATTTAAGACATGATTTATAAACACTGAGCTTCCCTCAACATTTAAGACATGATTTATAAACACTGAGCTTCCCTCAACATTTAAAACAAGATTTATAAACACTGAGCTTCCCTCAACATTTAAAACAAGATTTATAAACACTGAGCTTCCCTCAACATTTAAGACATGATTTATAAACACTGAGCTTCCCTGAACATTTAAGACATGATTTATAAACACTGAGCTTCCCTCAACATTTAAGGCAGGATTTATAAACACTGAGCTTCCCTAAACCTTTAATCTGGGATTTATAGACACTGACTTTCTTCAATCTTTAATTCAGGATTTAGAAACAGTCTCTCCAGCTTTTAATTAACGATTTTAAACACTGGGTTTTCTCAACCTTTAACCCTGGATTTATAAACATGAGTTTATTAATCAGCCGTTGAGTCAGGATTTATAAACACTGAGCTTCCCTCAAACTTTAAACCAGGATTCATAAACACTGATTTTTCTCAATTTTTAACTTTATCTTTATAAATTTTCTCAATTTTTAACTCAGGATTTCAAAACACTGAACTTCCCTCAACCTTTAATCTGGGACTTTCATCACCCTTTCAAGCCAGGATTTAGGCACAGTACAGTTAAAACATGTAAAGAGGGTTCATTTCAATAGAAAAATTTGAATTACTTTGATAATGACATAAAAAAAAGATTAAAGATGAGAGCAAACAACAGTCCTTGGTGTCATGGTAACTGTTCAGCGTGTTTAATAATGATTTATTTATCATAACTCATCGTCTCTCCTTAGACTAATGTTAGTGTTCCTTCAAGCTACTGTTATCTATGAGGATAAGAAAGCAGCGGAACCTAAAGGAGCGCAGCTTAGACTGGGATTATTTCCTTATGACAGACATGATGGAGGCGATCATGGTTTTACAGGGACAGGAATCTCAGGATTCAGTTTGCATAGCATGGAGGAAGAGGAGGAGGAGGAGGAAGCTGTAAAGGTGAAAGTCATTAAGTTTCGCCACAGGGAGTCAAGGGTAATTGCTCTGATATTACACAGGAGCCACAAACACTCACAGATTTATGTCTCCATCTCCTCAGAGGACATAATAAGGCCACAACACAAAGATCTGCATCGGTCCACCAACACAAACCTTCACATAATCATAATAATAATAATAATAATAAGCAATCAGAGAGAATAATCATTTAAAGGCTGCTGGAGGAGATCCGGTGAAAACAGATGCTTCTAGATATGAGAAATCAAGTGAAATCACTGATGATCAAGATCTCCTCACTGACAGCTATTGATACATTATTAACATGATTGATTATTAAACATCAGAGGTCCCCCCCCCCCCCCCCCCATGTTCATCATTAATTCATTGGTTTGTTCAAACGACTTTCAGCTGTTATTGAATCGATATTTACATGCAGGAAAGGCTTTAATGAAACATTAATGCCACCAGGAGCAGAGATGTTAGAAAACACCTGAACAGGAGCTCAGGAGACCCCTCCCACCTTCTACATGAAGTCTCCTCTTTTAGTAAACCACAAAGACTGGGATTTTAACATAAAAAAAGTATATATATTTTAATTTATTAGATTATTATTCACTGTAAACAATGTTTTTTGTTAATAAGTTTTACTTTAGTAGGATTTGTTTCCTTAAATGAATCCTGGTTTAATAGCTACTGGTTCCGGCTGTTGTTCTTTCATTGTTGTTGTTGTTGTTTTTTTTTTTTTTTTTTTATGGGGGGGGGGGTACATATTTAATATTTCCTTTTGCTTATTACTAAAAAAAATCCTCTAAAATTATTTTACATTTACATAATAATTTAACTTTTTAACTTGATCCATATTTTCTGTCATTTTATTCTTTTTTTTAATCATCTTATCTTTAATTGTAGTTTTTTTATCCTTAGTTTAAGACTATTTATCCTTCTTATTATTTATTTTATCCATAGTCTTTGTTGTTTTTATTCTTAGTTTCCTTAGTTTCAGTTCTATTCTCCTTTTTAGTTGTTTTATCCTTTGCATTAATCGCCTGATATTGTGTTTCAGTTATCCTTATTTTGACTAATTTTTTCCTGAGGTTTATGTTTATCCTTAGTTTTTATTATGCAATCTTAATTTTCAGTCATTTTATCTTAATTTTCAGTCATTTTATCTTAATTTTCAGTCGTTTCATCTTAATTTTCAGTCATTTTATCTTAATTTTCAGTCATATTATCTTAATTTTCAGTCGTTTTATCTTAATTTTCAGTCATTTTATCTTAATTTTTAGTCATATTATCTTAATTTTTAGTCATATTATCTTAATTTTCATTCATTTTATCTTAATTTTCAGTCATTTTATCTTAATTTTGAATCATTTTATCTTAATTTTCAGTCGTTTTATCTTAATTTTCAGTCATTTTATCTTAATTTTCAGTCATTTTATCTTAATTTTCAATCATTTTATCTTAATTTTCAGTCATATTATCTTAATTTTCCGTCATTTTATCTTAATTTTCAGTCATTTTATCTTAATTTTCAGTCATTTTATCTTAATTTTCAGTCATTTTATCATAATTTTCAGTCGTTTTATCTTAATTTTCAGTCGTTTTATCTTAATTTTCAGTCGTTTTATCTTAATTTTCAGTCGTTTTATCTTAATTTTCAGTCGTTTTATCTTAATTTTCAGTCGTTTTATCTTAATTTTCAGTCGTTTTATCTTAATTTTCAGTCATTTTATATTAATTTCTAGTCATTTTATCTTAATTTTCAGTCATTTTATCTTAATTTTCAGTCATTTTATCTTTAGTTTAAGTTGTTTTATCTTTATTTTCATCTTAGTTTTAACTGTCGTCGTTGGTTTGAGTTTTTTTCTCCCTCATTTCCATCATTTCCTCCTTCATGCTTTCTGATGTTTCAGAGGATGAAGGTAAATGAATTATTGCTGATGCAGAAGTGGAGCTGAGTCCGTCTGTCTCTCCTTCAGATCCAGGTTGGGGGTCTGGAGTACTATCCCGGTATGCTCCACATTTACTCCGATAATACCCTGACTTTGCCCGCCATCATCGGGATCGGGGCCGGCGGAGGCATCCTGCTCATCGCCATCATCGCCGTACTGATCGCTTATAAGAGGAAAACCAGAGACGCTGACAGGACGCTGAAACGCCTGCAGCTGCAGATGGACAACTTGGAAAGCAGGGTGGCGCTAGAGTGCAAAGAGGGTCCGTGGATCTTTTATTCCTTCCTTTTTCTCCTTCCTTTCTTCACGCTTTGTCTAACTTAGTGTTTCCATCCTGCAGCTTTCGCAGAGCTGCAGACTGACATCCAAGAGCTGACCAATGACATGGACGGAGTAAAGATTCCTTTCCTGGAGTATCGCACCTACACCATGAGAGTCATGTTTCCGGGGATAGAGGAGCACCCTGTCCTCAAAGAGCTGGATGTACGTAGATCACCTGTCAGACTGTCTGTGATGAGCTTTTCCATGAAGAACAGACAGAGGCTACCCTGAAGGCCGGTCACTAACAGCTCTTTATCCCTGCAGTCTCCTGCTAACGTGGAGAAAGCTCTTCGTCTCTTCAGCCAGCTGCTGAACAACAAGATGTTCCTGCTCACCTTCATCCACACCCTGGAAGCTCAGAGGTCGTTCTCCATGAGGGACCGAGGGAACGTAGCCTCGCTGCTGATGGCCGCTCTGCAGGTGAGGATCAGAGGTTCAGCGTCGCTATCATCAGTCGATGGCATAGATCCTATTTATCTCATCTAAGGACTCAACGTTCCTGTCAATAACGCAGAGTCTTAATGGAATATCTATTCGGCAGAATGAGGAGAAGAAGCAGAAATCTTTATGATGATGAAACTAAATTACAGATTACCGAGCATGAAGTCCTGAGGGACACCACTCATAAGTTAGGGCTACTTTCCTAATCCCGCTGCTGGGTTCTTCCTTCTCTGATCCAGAATGGCTAATGTTAGCCCTGGCCACTGCAGACGGGCTAACGTTAGCCCTGGCCTCTGCAGACGGGCTAACGTTAGCCCTAGCCCGCTGCAGACGGCCTAATTAGCTCTTGCCCGCTGCAGACGGGCTAACGTTAGCCCTGGCTTGCTGCAGACGGGCTAATTAGCCCTTGCCCGCTGCAGACAGGCTAACGTTAGCCCTGGCTCGCTGCAGACGGGCTAACGTTAGCCCTGGCCTCTGCAGACGGGCTAATTAGCCGTGGCCCGCTGCAGACGGGCTAACGTTAGCCCTGACCGCTGCAGACGGGCTAACGTTAGCCCTGACCGCTGCAGACAGGCTAACGTTAGCCCTGACCGCTGCAGACGGGCTAACGTTAGCCCTGACCGCTGCAGACGGGCTAACGTTAGCCCTGGCACGCTGCAGACGGGCTAACGTTAGCCCTGGCCCGCTGCAGTCGGGCTAATTAGCCGTGGCCCGCTGCAGACGGGCTAACGTTAGCACTGGCCCGCTGTAGACGGGCTAACGTTAGCCCTGGCCCGCTGCAGACGGGCTAATTAGCCGTGGCCCGCTGTAGACGGGCTAACGTTAGCCCTGGCCCGCTGCAGACGGGCTAATTAGCCGTGGCCCGCTGCAGACGGGCTAACGTTAGCCCTGGCCCGCTGCAGACGGGCTAACGTTAGCCCTGGCCCGCTGCAGACGGGCTAACGTTAGCCCTGACCGCTGCAGACGGGCTAACGTTAGCCCTGACCGCTGCAGACGGGCTAACGTTAGCCCTGACCGCTGCAGACGGGCTAACGTTAGCCCTAGCCCGCTGCAGTCGGGCTAATTAGCCGTGGCCCGCTGCAGACGGGCTAACGTTAGCACTGGCCCGCTGTAGACGGGCTAACGTTAGCCCTGGCCCGCTGCAGACGGGCTAATTAGCCGTGGCCCGCTGTAGACGGGCTAACGTTAGCCCTGGCCCGCTGCAGACGGGCTAATTAGCCGTGGCCCGCTGCAGACGGGCTAACGTTAGCCCTGGCCCGCTGCAGACGGGCTAACGTTAGCCCTGGCCCGCTGCAGACGGGCTAACGTTAGCCCTGACCGCTGCAGACGGGCTAACGTTAGCCCTGACCGCTGCAGACGGGCTAACGTTAGCCCTAGCCCGCTGCAGACGGGCTAATTAGCCCTGGCCCGCTGCAGACGGGCTAACTTTAGCCCTGGCCCGCTGCAGACGGGCTAACTTTAGCCCTGGCCCGCTGCAGACGGACTAACGTTAGCCCTGGCCCGCTGCAGATGGGCTAACGTTAGCCCTGACCGCTGCAGACGGGCTAACGTTAGCCCTGGCCCGCTGCAGACGGGCTAACGTTAGCCCTGGCCCGCTGCAGACGGGCTAACGTTAGCCCTGGCCCGCTGCAGACGGGCTAACGTTAGCCCTGGCCCGCTGCAGACGGGCTAAATAGCCCTGGCCCGCTGCAGACGGGCTAACGTTAGCCCTGGCCCGCTGCAGACGGACTAACGTTAGCCCTGGCCCGCTGCAGACGGACTAACGTTAGCCCTGGCCCGCTGCAGACGGGCTAATTAGCCGTGGCCCGCTGCAGACGGGCTAACGTTAGCCCTGGCCCGCTGCAGACGGGCTAACGTTAGCCCTGGCCCGCTGCAGACGGGCTAACGTTAGCCCTGACCGCTGCAGACGGGCTAACGTTAGCCCTGACCGCTGCAGACGGGCTAACGTTAGCCCTGACCGCTGCAGACGGGCTAACGTTAGCCCTAGCCCGCTGCAGTCGGGCTAATTAGCCGTGGCCCGCTGCAGACGGGCTAACGTTAGCACTGGCCCGCTGTAGACGGGCTAACGTTAGCCCTGGCCCGCTGCAGACGGGCTAATTAGCCGTGGCCCGCTGTAGACGGGCTAACGTTAGCCCTGGCCCGCTGCAGACGGGCTAATTAGCCGTGGCCCGCTGCAGACGGGCTAACGTTAGCCCTGGCCCGCTGCAGACGGGCTAACGTTAGCCCTGGCCCGCTGCAGACGGGCTAACGTTAGCCCTGACCGCTGCAGACGGGCTAACGTTAGCCCTGACCGCTGCAGACGGGCTAACGTTAGCCCTAGCCCGCTGCAGACGGGCTAATTAGCCCTGGCCCGCTGCAGACGGGCTAACTTTAGCCCTGGCCCGCTGCAGACGGGCTAACTTTAGCCCTGGCCCGCTGCAGACGGACTAACGTTAGCCCTGGCCCGCTGCAGACGGGCTAACGTTAGCCCTGACCGCTGCAGACGGGCTAACGTTAGCCCTGGCCCGCTGCAGACGGGCTAACGTTAGCCCTGGCCCGCTGCAGACGGGCTAACGTTAGCCCTGGCCCGCTGCAGACGGGCTAACGTTAGCCCTGGCCCGCTGCAGACGGGCTAAATAGCCCTGGCCCGCTGCAGACGGGCTAACGTTAGCCCTGGCCCGCTGCAGACGGACTAACGTTAGCCCTGGCCCGCTGCAGACGGACTAACGTTAGCCCTGGCCCGCTGCAGATGGGCTAAATAGCCCTGGCCCGCTGCAGACGGGCTAACGTTAGCCCTGGCCCGCTGCAGACGGGCTAACGTTAGCCCTGGCCCGCTGCAGACGGGCTAACGTTAGCCCTGGCCCGCTGCAGACGGACTAACGTTAGCCCTGGCCCGCTGCAGACGGACTAACGTTAGCCCTGGCCCGCTGCAGACGGGCTAACGTTAGCCCTGGCCCGCTACAGACGGGCTAATTAGCCCTGGCCCGCTGCAGACGGGCTAATGTTAGCCCTGGCCCGCTGCAGACGGGCTAATGTTAGCCCTGTCCCGCTGCAGACGGGCTAATGTTAGCCCTGTCCCGCTGCAGACGGGCTAATGTTAGCCCTGGCCGCTGCAGACGGGCTAGTGTTAGCCCTGGCCCGCTGCAGACGGGCTAATGTTAGCCCTGGCCCGCTGCAGACGGGCTAATGTTAGCCTTGGTTGCGGTTCGCCTTAGAGCTCCGCTGGTTGCTGTGGTCCTCTCACCATCAGAACTTTTTTTTCTCATTACTCAATCAGTAAATGGGCAATATAGTAATAATAATATTATGTTCTCACCTCACATGATCTAAAAACGTACTTTAATTGAACAAAGGCAACAGAAAGAGAACTTTTAACTTAATACTCTGAGCTCTGTGAGCGCTAACCTGGAAGCTGCTGCTGCCGCAGTGCATGCTGGGACAGCTGTCAGTCTGGAAAAAGGATGAGTCTGCTCTGATGCATGCTGGGTAACGAGGGAGGGGCGGGGACTTTGTCCGTTGTAGGTCTTCTTGTTCTTGTGAATTAGAGCTGAGGCTGATGATGTTTCACGAGAACGCAGAAGTAGACAGATTGAGAAGCAGCCTCTGTTTCTTCTCAGGGGCGGATGGAGTATGCCACCGTGGTGCTGAAGCAGCTGCTGGCCGATCTGATCGAGAAGAACCTGGAGAACAGGAACCATCCTAAGCTACTGCTGCGGAGGTCCGCCCTCAGGCCTGGGATAATCTGATCCGTCTCATCACGGTGTGTTAATCCATGTCTGACCTTTGACCTGTTCCTGTTTAGAACCGAGTCTGTCGCTGAGAAGATGCTGACCAACTGGTTCACCTTCCTGCTCCATCGGTTCCTGAAGGTACTCCATCCCCTCATTCTTAAACCCACCCTCTGAATCCCAGCTCTCCAGCCGACCAATCCCATCCTCTACCCCCCCAGGAGTGTGCCGGGGAGCCTCTCTTCATGCTGTACTGCGCCATCAAGCAGCAGATGGAGAAAGGTCCGATCGACGCCATCACAGGAGAGGCTCGCTACTCTCTGAGCGAAGACAAACTCATCCGCCAGCAGATCGACTACAAGCAGCTGGTAAAGCTTATAGACGCCACGGGGGGGGTTACCATTAGGCCCCACGTTCCTGGGGGCCCCATAAAACTCTATTTACATGTATGGTTAATACAACTATTCCTTGTTTGTGCACATTAATTATGTTTTTGATAAAAATCCTTTCGTTAAAATTCCATCAGAACACTTATAATATTAAGTGTGTCTCAGCCCCCCCCTTCAGTGTCCACCATATTGGATCAGTCCATTTGCTGCACATGTTCAGAAAGGTCCAAACAGACAGCAGCAAACCATTTGAAAACAAACCATGCAAAGAGCAGTGTTGCCAACTTAGCGCTCTAGTCGCTAAATTAAATGACTTTCCTATGACTGAGCATTAGGGCCAGGCTAAAGGTGTATTTCTTTTTTATAGAACAAAGTCGTAACGTCTGGAAACACAGGAAGGAGCAATCAGCTAAGTGAGCTTAGTGCTTGGAAAAAATCTTTCATTCCTTTAGAGACAGCATGAAAAGTCAGCTGAGTACAAAACATAGAGAGGAAAACAAGAAGAAAAGGGACAAGAAGAGAGGGACACAACCTAGAACAGATAATGGATGTCTATTCTATTAACATTTCTCTATCTGGAGAATGGGGTTGTTTGATGTGTTGTCTTCTCCATTCAGAGGGGCCCCCTGCCTGTCTTTGACTAGGGCCCCAAATTTCCTAAATCTGCCTCTGGGCACCATATCCATCCACCTGCCATTACTAGAAAAATAGTTCCGCTTTATTTTCAGTCTTTATGCTAAGCTAAGCTAGCGGCTGCACTGGGGACCATTTTTGTTCCTCTTTAAGAACAGGATTTTGTATTTGGGTCCAGTGAGGTCTTCTGGGGCTAAGAAGGGTCAGTCTGGGGTTCCTGTTGGTTCTTATGGTAGCATTTATGGATCCTGTTGAAAGCTGAGATAGAAGCAGCTTTAAAAATTATTTTATTTATTTTTTTTTTTTTTCTGCACATTTAATACTTAAAGTTTTAGATGTTGATAATTAGTCACACTTTTCCTTTCAGTTTTAAAGCGCAAAAGAATAATAATAATAATTCATAGATTCCTGGTGATTGGCAGCAAAGATCAGAGGTCATGGATTAGTGGACCACAGTCCAGATCGGGACCCAAACTGATTTAAAATATTCATAAATTAACTTATGTTGTCCGACGACAGTGTCTAATTTCACTTGCGCCTCTTCTCCTGTTAATACGGTAAAGCCCTGGGGAGCGTCCGGCTCCAGGCTGCACGTGATCCAATGAGCCAATGAGCTGTCAGTCTGGGTTGCTGCTGCTGCTACTTTTAGACACAGCAGGCAAACCTGTGGCAAGCCGGGCGATGGGAAAGAAGGAGGAGACCATGAGAAAAAGAGAGCAGAGAAAGTGTGGACTGCTGGAAGAACTGCGGGGAACTGGTGAAAGAAAAGTGAAATGGCGTGCTCAAAGATGACCCTGCACATTTAGAGGATGTTTGGCTCAACCTGCTGCTGTGAAGCAGGATTCTCCACCATGAACAGAATCAACAATAAATCTGGATCCAGGCTCAAAATGAGCTCCTTGATATGTGCTTGAGAATGGCTTAGTCTCCGGTTAAACTCAGGTTTAAAGCCTTGCAGGGCAGCCTAAAGCCCACTGCCAACATTAAGACAGAAAAAAGAAAGAAAATAACAAACCCTCAGTTCAGGGGTTTGAGAAAATATGGGAATCAGGAAATTATCTATAAACCAAACTGAACGATTTTTGTTCTCTACTTCTTTTTATTTTTTTATTATTTAAAAAGTCAAAGTCAATGAGGTGTTTATGCATCCATGTTATAACATGGATGCATAAACACCTCATTTTATTTCAGTGATAAATTCTGTTTAAAGTAACATGATTAAAACGTCTCCAGAGCTTTACTGGTTGATGATTTTCTTTATTGGGACCCCGTTGATTTTTAAATGGTTACCTCTGACATAGAGCTTAGAATCCAGAGGTTGTGAGTTCAAGCCCCACTCCCACAGACTGCCACTCTGGGTCCCTGAGCAAGACCCTTAACCCCACACTGCTCTCAGAGCGCCGCATAATGGCAGCCCTCTGCTCCCCAAGGGGAGGGGTTAAATGCAGAGATAAATTTCTCCAATGTGAGATCAATAAAGTTCAATTATTAACCCAAAAAATAACTTTTCTGATTTCTGTAAAAAACTGTGAGTTTTTTTAGTTTTTTTAGAAACTTATTTAGTAGATTTAATGTTAGCTGAACCAAACTGGACCTTCTTGGCCCGTCAGAACCCACAGTCAGCTGGTTTCTCACTCCGCCCACCAGCCTGTATCTCACTGGGTTCAGTGTCTGCCTCAGACCCCGTTTTCCATAGCAACGGGTACAGTCTGCTGTTTCCCGCAGCGTGAAGGTTCAGTGTTTCTGCGTTAGTGGGGATCCAGTCTGTGAGGAAACGGACAAAAACGGCTGAGGGTTTGGTTTATGGAACCAGAACCAAGGCATCAGCCTGATTCTGACCCAGTTCTGGTCCCACTGGGTTCCTGAGCAGAACCAGGAGCAGAGATGGCCTCCAGATGGTTCTGGGACAGGAGTCTTTGGACATATATTGGTTCTGACATCTTCGTCTCTCCCTCAGACGCTGATGTGCATCCCCCCGGAGGGCGAAGCCGGAACCGAGGTTCCGGTGAAGGTTCTGAACTGTGACACGGTGACTCAGGTGAAAGACAAACTCCTGGACGCCGTCTACAAAGGCATCCCGTTCTCTCAGAGACCGCAGGCCGACGACATGGACCTCGGTACCAGCTCACACGACCTCACCATCAGCGGGTCGCTGGAAGGTTCTGGTTTGGTTCTGAGGAAGCTGTGTGTCTGTGTTCTCAGAGTGGCGACAGGGCCGCCTGACCCGGATCATCCTGCAGGACGAGGACGTGACCACGAAGATCGAGAGCGACTGGAAGAGGCTGAACACGCTGGCTCACTACCAGGTACTGAAGCGGGAACGGGTCAGCCGCACGGAACCAAGACCCGGTCAGGGGGGAGTTCTGAACCAGGAAGTCGGTCCTTTTCTTCCTGGTTGTTTGCTGATTAAAGCCGGAGCCTGGAAGCAGCAGGACTGAGGGGATAATCAGAGAGGAGGATAATTACGGTGATAATAACAGAAAACAGTCGGACGGCGCCGCCTCGCTCCAAATCAGGCCCGGCTCTCCATCAGCTCCTGCAGCGACTCGCTCGCAGGAGATCCAGATTGTTGACAGGATAACAATCGACTGATTGAGGGGACAATTAGTCCGCCGACTGACTGTGTGTCTGTGTGTTGCCAGGTAACAGATGGCTCGCTGGTGGCGCTGGTCCAGAAGCAGGTTTCTGCCTACAACATCGCCAACTCCTTCACCTTCACCAGATCCCTGAGCAGATACGGTGAGCCGCTATGGATGGACCAGAACCGGACCTTCATTTCCTGACTAACTGTGTTGATTTAGAGCCAGTTACTGATGAAGGCAACACACGGTTCATTCACATCACTAAAGAGAACCCCTGTACTCCAGATCTGCTCGGGGCCCCGCCCCTTCTTATGACATACGGCAACTCCACTCTGACGAACTGTTGCATCCGTTTCTTAAGGAACTCTTTTCATATTCAACATATTATTCCCTATATTTGCTATTATTTTACATTTCATTGGCGATCTAAAGTAGCAGAAAGTAGAAAACAATCATTGTCAGTCTGGAAGTAAAGTGCTGCGTTCTGAGACAGACTGAGCTCTGCTATTTAACAAGGTGACACTAAAAATCTCAGCTTATTTTTACTATTTTTATTAAAGTAGTGATAGAATGATTCTATTGGGTATCTTGTTCTGGTCCTTAAGGTCTCTGAATATCTATGAGCCCTAATGCAGCCTGGTTAAAAGCCCTAGAATGAAACGACAGGTTTCTTCCTTTTATGGTATGATCATGAATATTTAGATGAGCTGTGCTCTGATTGGTTGTTTTACAACGAGCGAAGCTGCTGAGCAAAGACGCTTCATAGCAACAAGCACTCACTCACTGAAACATCAGATTGTTGATATGGTAGGGTGACCAGACGTCCTACTAGTGATGCTACCAACTTGGCGCACCGACGCTGCGTGATATTATCGTTGTCTGGGCGACCACAATGTTTTACATCATGTGGCGACATTCAGTGTCAGGTCTAAGCATCTAAAACATCATACATACATACAGGGAAAGAAAGAAGGCACAGAGACAATTAATTTAGTTACTCGCGAGGAGAGTAGGAAGAGACTGCGGAGTTTACAAATCTCCACCCCACTCTGCCGTCTTCAGCTTTCTCCTCGCTATTTATTAAAGTCAGGGGATGTCCCTAATTACACAAGCTGAGGTTTAACTAAAGGGAAACAAAATGATCTTACTTTAAACCTCAGCACAGATGCTAAAACTAAGCATGTGGTTGTTTTACAATTGGATGACCTTTATCTGGAACGATCTTTAGCAAGAGTTAATAAACGATGAATCACACATTATACATCATAATAGTTCATTAGTACACAACCCATGAAACACAAACGGAGTATGAATAAAATATTTCTAACATTCAGCCAACCATGTAGCGTAATGTCACTGGCATGAAGCAGGACCCGAGTAGATCTGGTACCTATAGCGCATCCATAGCATCAAACTTTTAACTTCTTTCACTGAACCCACTGTTAACACTGTGGGTGGCGTTTTGCAAGGACTTTTATTTTTAGATTCTGTCTCACTACAGCTTCTAACCTTTTTTTTTTTTATTTGCTTCTTGCCTTTAGTAAATCAAGGCTAAAACGGTAGTTTTCGGGCCAATGTTGTGCTAGTTCATATTTAAAATGAACTAGCTCATGTTTATAGTTCACTTTAAAAAAAAAACAACTAAGTTTACAAACCTGTAAAAATTAAGAACAATCCACAGGACTTTGTTTCCAAGTTTGAAGGCGTTTCTCTTCCAAATAGGAAGCTTTTTCAGTTCAAAATGTCAGAAATAGTGTTGATTTCCAGGCTAACTGAAATTAAAGCTGAGATTTAACTCTGTTTCTGAAGGTTCATGTCCTCCATAACTGTTTTTGTTCTCATGCGTTTCTGTTTGGATCATCAGAGTCTTTACTGCGGACGTCCAGCAGTCCAGACAGCCTGAGGTCCAGAGCTCCAATGATCACCCCGGACCAGGAGACAGGTACTGCTGTTTGTTTTTTAGGGAGGTTTCCAGGTCCTCTGGTAGACTCTGTGTTCCTCTGATGAAGGTCCATCATGTGTTACAGGGACTAAACTGTGGCACCTGGTCAAGAACCATGAGCACAGCGACCAGAGGGAGGGAGACCGGGGAAGCAAGATGGTCTCTGAGATCTACCTGACCAGACTGTTGGCCACCAAGGTAAAAAAAAAACCTTGCTGACACGGCAGCGCCTAACATGAGGTCACAGGGTTTATATTAGATGCTCTAAGAGAAAAGCCTCTATGGCCACAGTTATTGATCATGTCTAAGCACAGACTCGTTCAGTCGTTTCCCACCAGGAAGAGGTTCAGACAGAAACCACGGCTCATAATCCGATAAATTAAATAAAGCAGCGGTCTGGAGATCTCTATTTAGAGTGTTGCCTCTCATCTTTCTCCCTATAGCTCTCTAAGTTGTTCACCTAACATCTACTTTTCTTATTTTTCTTGATTTAGTTTAAGATTTCTTCCATTATTTAAAGGAAACCTTTAGTTTTCAGAAATTCACCTCCTGACAGAAAATGGCTATTTACATAAAAACCTAGGATAAAAGAATCACTTTTAAAGGGATAGTTCGGTATTTTTGACATGAATCTGTATGGCATCCCCATCACCAGTGGCATGCAATCACACTGACTTACCCCTGGCAGCGTCCTGTGAGCAGAGTTATCGTCCAGTTTTGGTCAAGCCGAAAGTAGTCCGGCAGGTTTTTAGGACCAGCGAAATAAAACTTTTCTCTTGCCAAAACATTATGTGTTCAAAAGAGTGATATTTTTGCATCCCAAAACGTTGTAGTGGAAAAAGTCACACGTCGTTATCACTTGGTCCTATTTTCTCTCTGTTCGTATCAGTGCGCGCCGTCATTCAGACAGCGAGCTCAACAACAGCCAGATGCATGTCTCCCTCCGCCTAGCTCCTAGCTGGGCGGACCGAGATTGCATGTGTGATTGCATGCCACTGGTGATGGGGATGCCATACAGATTCATGTCAAAAATACCGAACTATCCCTTTAAGTTTCAGAAAGCTTTAATTTTTTAAACCCTTGTCGCCTATTGTTGCAAATATTCAACAAACCGTATTTGTTCCTCTAACAGCCAATATAATGTGTGCATTCCCTCAGTTAATGCACTTAAAGGAGAAGTTCACTTTTTAACACTTTTAGCCCATTTTCTGTAGTGTCCAGGATGAAATCGAATGATCGACACCAAAATTTTGAGAATTGCTCCTGTCTCTGCTTTTTGGCTCATTTAGAATCCCCCCCTGGCTGCTTTAGAATGGCTTCCATAGTGCATGTCCGATAATGTCCTTAAAACAACCTTAAACGTTCTTTTTTAAAATATGCTACTCACCGGGTCGTCAGTGCTGTTCAATGACGTTCCAAAAAAAGTTTCGTAAAGAAAAAACGTTCCTGTAGTGTTTTATTTAGCATTTTGTAAATCCCATTGAGTTCTGTTGGAATAGTCAATATTCCCCCCTGCCACCGGAAACGGAAATGGGGCCTGTTTACACAGTTGTAGTCTTTTCGCTTCACTCTGTGTACTCCGACGTCGAGGTGCTAACGTCTCTGTTAAACACTTTAAAAAACTCTGAAAATGGAATACGAAAGGTGGATTCTTGATTCTTGACGTCGGAGTACACAGAGTGAATCGAAAAGACTACAACTGTGTAAACAGGCCCCATTTCCGTTTCCGGTGGCAGGGGAATATTGACAGAACTCAATGGGATTTACAAAATGCTAAATAAAACACTACAGGAACGTTTTTTCTTTACGAAACTTTTTTTGGAACGTCATTGAACAGCGCTGACGACCCGGTGAGTAGCATATTTTAAAAAAAGAACGTTTAAGGTTGTTTTAAGGACATTATCGGACATGCACTATGGAAGCCATTCTGAAGCAGCCAGGGGGTGATTCTAAATGAGCCAAAAAGCAGAGACAGGACCAATTGTCAAAATTTTGGTGTCGATCATTCGATTTCATCCTGGACACTACAGAAAATGGGCTTAAAGTGTTAAAAAGTGAACTTCTCCTTTAATGCTCATTCAGTGCGGAGATAGGAACCTTTGGAAAACAAGTGTTTCTGGTAGGACCGGTCCCTGATGTTCCCTGATGGTATTGTTTACTAGTTTATCTTTGGCCATTTCTCAATTCACAAGAACGCGAGTACGGACTCGTGTTCTCACCAAGTAATTTCTTGAGAAGAACAAAAAGATGTCTGAACTCTGGGAGAACAGGAACATGCAGCATTAATCTGGGTCAACTGGAACAGACGCGTACTGATGACATCATCACATGCTCAGCTCCTCTGGAGCTGCATTTCACCTCCTGTTATTAATAGGCTCTAAATAATAATAAATTCTTACTTTTTAATTTAGTGGGGGAATAATGATTAACACAGTAACAATAAGATAAACACAAATCTAATTAACATTTTGCCAAATAAAACAAAAAAACCTCCATCAGAGCCAGCGGCACCTCATACACGGCTGTGCAGAGAGAGGATCGCTGCAGACATGCTAACGTTAGCCCCGGCTGCTACAGATGGGCTAACATTAGCACTGGCCGCTGCAGACGGGATAACGTTAGCCTTGGATGCTACAGACGGGCTAACGTTAGCACTGGCCGCTACAGTCGGGCTAACGTTAGCCCATCTGCAGCAGTCAGGGCCGCTGCAGATGGGCTAACGTTAGCCCTAGCCACTGCAGATGGGCTAACGTTAGCCCTGGCCACTGCAGATGGGCTAACGTTAGCCCTGGCCGCTGCAGACGAGCTAACGTTAGCCCCGGCTGCTGCAGATGGGCTAACGTTAGCCCTGGCCGCTGCAGACAAGCTAACGTTAGCCCCGGCTGCTGCAGATGGGCTAACGTTAGCACTGGCTACTGCAGATGGGCTAACGTTAGCACTGGCCGCTACGCAGATGGGCTAACGTTAGCCCTGGCCGCCACGCAGACAGGCTAACGTTAGCCCTGGCCGCCACGCAGACGGGCTAACGTTAGCCCTGGCCGCTACAGACGGGCTGACGTTAGCCCTGGCCGCCACGCAGACGGGCTAACGTTAGCCCCGGCCGCTGCAGACGGGCTGACGTTAGCCCTGGCCGCTGTTACCCTTGGAGGTCCGCTGGGTGCTGCAGTCCTCTCAACATCTGAACTTTTTTTTACTCACTAAATCAGTAAATGGGCAATATAGTGACGCTTAAAGTAAAATCTTCTCGCCTCGAATGATCTTAAAACGTACTTTTCCTCAGTCTTGTGTTGTTGTGAATTGGAACAGTACTAGGGCTGCGGCTGATGACGTTTCACGAGCACTTAAGAAAGCACAAGTACACAGATTAAGAAATGGTCCACCAGTTTCCACCAGTTTACTATATTTGAAAAAAATTTTCAGTAATAGTTTAAATTGTTGCCAAGTAATAATCTTTACCATCTGGGGAAAAGGCTGTTTAACCCGGGAACAATCAGCTTTTAGTGTTAGTGGGAACAGCTCACTGACACTTTTCTACCCGGATCAAACGACTCGCATCAAAATCTACTCGGCTCGGATCTGCATGCTGTGGAAACACCAGAGGCAGATTTATCCGCTAAATTACGTGACACCATTAAACGCAACGGACGGATTGTCAACACACCGTGCCAGTCGCTTCTGATCTAACAAGCAGAAAAACCTGTTTACATGTTGCTCTCCCATTGTTTACTTCCCTGATTTCTGTCGCAGTGGTGACATCATCAACCCTAACCCAGTGTGATGGTGTCACCAGACAAGAAGCTGGGGGGGAACAGAGGCTATAAAGCTCCCAGCGAGGGGTTAGACCAGCTTTTTATGCCGAAGGGAAGGGAACCAAATGGCGATAGTTAGCGGGTCGACCCATGTTTGAAAAACACACGCTAACGCGCTATTTTCATTCGGACACAAGCTGTAGATGGTTACTTCAAGTAAGTTTACATTCACACTCAATGGTTGAATCAGTTTTAACTCTTGTTTGTTCAGGTTGTCTGTCTTATTTTTGACTTTCCTTGTTTTCGTTTCGATGTTTTAAACTGTTGCCTGTATTGTTGTCCTTTCACCACCAGGGGACGCTGCAGAAGTTCGTGGATGACCTTTTTGAGACGGTGTTCAGCACAGCCCATCGCGGCTCTGCTCTCCCACTGGCCATTAAATACATGTTTGACTTCCTGGACGAGCAGGCCGACAAGCGGGCCATCACCGACCCAGACGTCCGGCACACCTGGAAAAGCAACTGGTTAGTTCCCGGAAACTCTCCCCCGTTTGGTTTGTTTGGAGCCGTCAAAGTAAATCCTCTGTGCGGTCTGCAGCCTTCCTCTCAGGTTCTGGGTGAACGTCATTAAGAATCCTCAGTTCGTGTTCGACATCCATAAGAGCAGCATCACGGACGCCTGCCTGTCGGTGGTGGCACAGACCTTCATGGACTCCTGCTCCACTTCTGAACATCGACTCGGCAAAGACTCGCCGTCCAACAAGCTGCTCTACGCTAAAGACATCCCCAACTACAAGAGCTGGGTGGAGAGGTAGAGAAGCAGTTAGCTAATCCAGGATTTTATCTAATCTTTAGTTCATCATTGTTTTATGAATAGTTAGAAAATGGGATCTGAGATCAGAAACGATCAGATCTTTCTATCAGACGACTGTGACGTCAGAGGAGCTACAGCACATGGAGATTTATGGAAATATGTCACCAATCCGAAGACGAACAAAACAAAACTTTACTCCTTATTTAAGATTAAATATTTATCTTGCAAATCTAAAAAAATGCATGACTATATTTTGAAATATTATAATTTTATAGTTTAGTTTTTTTTTTTATGTCTTAATCAAGGTCATTGGGTGAGTGGAGTGGCGCCCCCTATTGGCCGCCACTGTTATCGTCTGCATTGAGCTTTACTTTGAAACGTGCTTTCAGCAGGTTTTTTTCAACTTTTTGATAAATAACTTCAGACTTTTGGACTAATAATGTAAAACAGCTCCTACGCCGCCATTTGTTGGGTTCTTTAAGATTATATTGTGCAATGTTGTTTATTCTGAGAGTCCGATTAGACCCGCTGTAGGTACCAGATCTGCTCGGGGCCCCGCCCTTTCTTATGACATCATCATAGGCGGAAGCATAACTTGCAAAAAAATAATTTTCAAATGTATTTAACATTCTCCTAGCATCCTAGCATAAGGAACTTTCTCACACTTTAACATTTGGTTATTCCCAGTGGCGGTTCTAGACCAAATGTACCAGGGGGCTAGGAGGGGGCCAGCATTTATTCACGGGGGCCCAGAAAAGCATGAAATGAAGAGACATTTTTTTTTATTCAATTAGGTCTAATTAAAATTCTATGTCTTATTAGGTCAATATATATTCATAATTTAGGAATTTTACATATTTTTGACTTAATATAAGTAAAAATTACGTTTTCTGTAAAATCTTAATTAGAACTCAAGAAAAACTGATCAATTCAGCTGCAAAAATTAGTTTTTTTTTTTTTTGTTTTGGGGGAAAAAATCATTTAGCAGATGAAAACTTGGATTCTATTTCAATGCCGCTGAAGCTATCGCCTTGTTGTTTTTAAATAATTAGTAAAACAGAATTTGTAAAATAAAAATAATTTTTAGAGAAAAGAAATAGATCCAAAAGACCCTATCTGTTCCAGCGCAGATCCAGTATTATGTCTTCGGTACAGGGGCCATAACAGGGGCCAAGACATGAGCTACAGGGGCACAGGCCCCTGTTGGCCCCTGTCTAGAACCGCCCATGATTATTCCTAAAAAAACACATCAATTCATCAAGGACATAAATTTTAGCCAGATAAACAGTCAGAACAGGTCTCCCATTCACGGCTTAAAGGAGGCTGTGTGAACTCATTCTAATCACCATTGTCTAGAGTAGGGAGGCATCTGCTTTTATGCCCCCCTACCTTAAACATTACAGCTTAGAGGCTGGTAAAAGATCTCTCTGAACTCACTGCTATTCAGGCAGACACACTCAAAGCATTTTATAGGCCAAAGAAAAATATACTTCCACAAATTCCACTCGGACAAACTGTATCACACCTGTTTCTGTAAAACTTCATCGGTCATTAGACATTGCTAACGCTACAGATGCTCCCGACTCGTTACACGGAAGCTGCGAGATGTTATTATCGTTGTCTTGGCAACCGCAATGTTTTACGTCGTGGCAAAATTTAGCCAATCATGTAGCGTAAAGTCACTAGCAGGAAGCAGGATCTTGTTCCTACAGCGGCTTTTTATAGACGACAAGCTTTCAAACACCAGAGGTTTTGGTTATTCAGCTGCAGAACCGATCGGCTAATAAGAATCTAAAAATACTGCTAATATTAAACAGGTCCAGATTTAAATGTATAGAAGTTGGTGACAGATGGATCATAAGGTGCGAACCACAGGTTGTTTCGTTTTGTTTTTTCCCCAAACCATCGGTCTGACGTGTGTCTCTGCCTCCTGAAGGTACTACAGGGACATCTCGAAGATGCCCAGCATCAGCGATCAGGACATGGACGCCTACCTGGTGGAGCAGTCCCGTCTCCATGGCAACGAGTTCAACACCCTGAGCGCGCTCAATGAGCTCTACTTCTACATCAACAAATACAAGGAAGAGGTGAGGCTGCTTGGTTTAAACTTGGAGTAGCTTCAGTCAGCGCCATGCGGTCCATCGTTAGCTAACCTCCGGTTTAGTGCTTGATTAATGTCTACAAAGAAACATTTAAAATTCCTCAGGCTGTTTGGTTCTATAAAGGACATCTTAGTTGAAGAATGGGGCACAGGATGGGGAACTATTCAGAAGAGCATCACAAATATAAATAACAGACTGGGTTAAACAGAGGCTTCAAACCTTTTCTTATATTCATGCCATTTAGACCAACGCTGTATAGAAACAAGTCCTCTGAGCCGTAGAAAGTACATTTTGAAGAGGTATCTTTGATTTTTTTTGGGAATAACTCCTTGGTTAGCAGACCCAACAGATAGATCTTTGGTTCCATGGAGTCCTGAAATGGTGCCGGTCCAACTTACATCAGAAAACAGCTACTGAGGAAATATTCAAGGTCGAATTTAACAAGTCAAAAATCTGCTTCGAAAAGTGAGGGAACCCAGAAACAGGACATGTTGGTTCCCGTTTCTGGAGGCAGTACTTTAAGTTACAGCTCCATTGACAGCAGGTCTTAACACATTCATAGAGCTGATTAAACAAAAAAAGAGACATTTAACAAACCAAAATGGCTGCACCAGGTTCCTGGAACTACGACCCTCAGGTGAAGTACGGGAAACAAGAAAAAAAGGGGCCAAGTATAAAGCCTTGAGGTACTCCTCATGAGAGAGGGTCTGCAACTTAAACATAAAAATGTGCCCCATTTCAGTAGGACTTCAACCAATCCAGAGCAGCCATCTGAACCCAGGTCTCTGGACAGGAAAGAAGGATCTGAACGTGGACGGATTCAAGCCTTTTGAATTTAGCATAAAGTCCAGCATCAAACTGGACTTCAGATCTTTGCACCAGTGTGGGTTCTGGAGCCCTACAGCTTCTCTGAAACATTTGGAGATACAGTCAAGGTGTAACTTCAGGTGATGAACTATAATAACAGATAAAACTTAAATTGTTAATCTAAATGGTGCTTTGATCTGAGGTTAGATCGGTTTGGTTCTGTATTAAAGGTAAAGATCACCCCCACTGCCCCTAGTGCTTCCAGTGCTCCCAGTTATGCTCTTTATGTTTGGACCAGCTGGGTCCATAAAAACATCAGCCTCTTGGTCTTTGCATCCTCTCAGGACCCAAATGTGACTTTTATGACCTTCTTTGAGCTTTTATTGCTGGTTTCTGGGGCACTTAGTGGAATTGGCCTGTTTTCGACCTCTAACCTTTGGTTCTTCTGGGTCACAGAGTTACTCTTTATTGTCCTCAGAAGAAAACAGCCCTCCTCATGCTGCTGGACTGATCCAACAGACTGGTTTTATTCTCTTTAGCGAGACGATGATGGATGGATGGATGGATGTTGGATGGATGATGGTTGGATGGATGGATGGATGAATGGATGTTGGATGGATGATGGTTGGATGGATGTTGGATGGATGTTGGATGGATGATGGTTGGATGGATGGATGGATGAATGGATGTTGGATGGATGATGGTTGGATGATGGTTGGATGGATGATGGATGGATGTTGGTTGGATGTTGGTTGGATGGATGTTCGATGGATGTTGGTTGGATGAATGTCGGATGATGGATGGATGTTGGTTGCATATTGGATGGTTTTTGGTTGGATGATGGATGGATTAATGTTGGATGATGGATGGATGAATGTTGGATGGATGATGGTTAGATGGATGTTTTTTGGATGGATGTTGGATGATGGATGGATGTTGGTTTGGATGATGGTTGGATGGATGTTGGATGGATGTTGGTTGGATGGATGTCGGATGTTGGTTGGATGTTGGATGGTTGTTGGTTGGATGTTGGATGGTTGTTGGTTGGATGGATGTCGGATGTTGGTTGGATGTTGGATGGTTGTTGGTTGGATGTTTGATGATGGATGGATGAATGTTGGATGATGGATGAATGAATGTTGGATGGATGTTGGATGATGGATGGATGAATGTTGGATGGATGTTGGATGATGGATGGATGAATGTTGGATGGATGTGGGTTAGATGGATGTTTTTTGGATGGATGTTGGATGATGGATTGATGTTGGTTTGGATGATGGTTGGATGGATGTTGCATGGATGTTGGTTGGATGGATGATGGATGGATGTTGGATGGATGTTGGTTGGATGGATGTCGGATGATGGATGGATGTTGATTGGATGTTGGATGGATGATGGTTAGATGGATGATAGTTGGATGACGGTTGGATGGATGATGGATGGATGTTGGATGGATGATAGTTGGATCGATGTTGGATGGATGATAGTTGGATCGATGTTGGTTGGATGATGGTTGGATCGATGTTGGTTGGATGGATGTTGGATGATGGTTGGATGTTAGTTGGATGTTAGTTGGATGGATGTTGGATGATGGTTGGATGGTGGTTAGATGGATGGATGATGGATGGATGATGGTTGGATGAATGTTGGATGGATGTTGGATGGATGATGGATGGATGGATGATGGTTGGATGGATGTTGGATGGATGGATGGATGTTGGTTGGATGGATGTTGGATGGATGGATGGATGTTGGATGATGGTTAGATGGATGGATGTTGGATGGATGATGGTTGGATGGATGTTGGATGATGGTTGGATGGATGGATGGATGTTGGATGATGGTTGGATGGATGTTGGATGATGGTTGGATGGATGATGGTTGGATGGATGGATGTTGGATGATGGTTGGATGATGGTTAGATGGATGGATGTTGGATGGATGATGGTTGGATGGATGTTGGATGGATGGATGGATGTTGGATGATGGTTGGATGGATGGATGTTGGATGATGGTTGGATGGATGGATGGATGGATGGATGTTGGATGATGGTTAGATGGATGGATGTTGGATGGATGATGATTGGATGGATGTTGGATGGATGGATGGATGTTGGATGATGGTTGGATGGATGGATGGATGTTGGATGATGGTTAGATGGATGGATGTTGGATGGATGTTGGATGATGGTTGGATGGATGGATGGATGTTGGAGAATGGTTAGATGGATGGATGTTGGATGATGGTTAGATGGATGGATGTTGGATGATGGTTAGATGGATGGATGTTGGATGGATGTTGGATGATGGTTGGATGGATGGATGGATGTTGGAGAATGGTTAGATGGATGGATGTTGGATGATGGTTAGATGGATGGATGTTGGATGATGGTTAGATGGATGGATGTTGGATGATGGTTAGATGGATGGATGTTGGATGGTTAAATGATCCATTGATGATTCCGTGTATCAATCTGTTTCCAATGGAACTTTTCTTTCTGCGGTTCTTTAGATTCTGACGGCGTTGGATCGGGACGGATACTGCCGGAAACACAAGCTGAGGCATAAACTGGAGCAAGCCATCAACCTGATGTCTGGCAGCAGCTGAGACCAGGACATGGATCCACGGGGCGGGGGGGTGGGGGTTCTCTGAACTGTCAGAACCAAACGGGTCCGAGTCAAACGGGTCGGACAGCAACAGCTTCAACATCACCAGCGATCAATCCGTCATTAATTATTGATCAGAAGATGGATTGATTGGCTGATGGGCTCGTTGGGACCCAGTGGATCAGAACATTTCCTGGGATTAACGGATTCTGGAAAAACTGGACCGAACCTGCTGAGGACTGAACTCAGTTTGCCCAACGAGAATGAACAGTGGATCCCATTCTGGATCAGGACCCGGTCCCATGGTTAAAGAAGGTTCTCCTCACAGGTCGGACCGACCCGGACCTCACTGATCCTCACCGCTGACCCGCCCAGCTCCATCTGGACCTGTTAGGAAATCAGGGTCCGCTCATGAAGGAAAGCGTTTGGTTTGGACGAGCCGACCCGGAGCCGAATTCATCTCTTGGATCTGATCGGATCAAGCCGAGCCGGGTCAGGAGTTTTCATCCGGACAATCAGTTTTCCCACAGCACACTGAGCCCAACGCGTCCTGACCGACCACTTCCTGTTCCTGAGCCTCCCGTTTGACCCCGCCCCCTGCCTCCTCATTGGTCAGTCTGCTGGCCAGGAGGATGTACTGCCTGACCAATGAAGACTGTGGAAGTCACCGCTGTGACAGAAACTGAATACATTCCAGCACAGGTACGCCGCCAACCTTTCAGAACCACATTTTTCCAGGCCAGAACCGCCTGCGGACCACGCCGCGGTCTGACCCGCCTGCCCGATCACAGCCATGCTGCACGGCGCCGTGCTAACCCTCCCCGACAGGGGAAATACTGTGCAGAGCTACAAGCCCAGTGCCATGGAAAGTCGGGACCAGATCTCCCTCAGGACTGGACTGGACTCGGACCAAATCCAGATCCAGAACAAAGAGAATGGAGGCTAAACTGGACCAGACTCCAAGAACTCTTAAGACTTGTGGCCATAATTGTAAACAGGAAAAAAAAGGAAAGAAAATGAAGCTAAAAACGATAAAATAATGAAAAGAATTCAGACGAACGGAAAAAAATATGGAAATGCTAACATGTAACCAGAACTTTGTGGGTTTTTTGGAGCTGGACTTGTACAAAGATAAACAGAACTTAACATTCGAGTCCGAAGGAGGACAGAGAGCCTAAAGAGGAGGGATCGGACGGTACCGACCGGCCCAGAGCCGACTGGGCCCAGTGGGGTGCAGATGCGGACACAGTTTGGACTTTTTGGTACTTTTTTATGAGCAGAACCAGAGCTCTGTGGGTTCAGGCCTTTTTTAGAGGCTTTGGTTGTTTTAGATGTTGCGTCTGCATCGCGGTGAGAGCGTCTGCAGCCTGCATTGGGGGGGGGACCGGGTTTGGACCAACAGAACCAGTCTGAGATGATCTGTGCTGGCATATTGTCCCTTCACGCCGCCGGCTCTGCGGTCCGTTTGCTCTGCACTCTCAGAAAACAGAACCCGGTACTGTTCTAGTTGCCGGGTTCTGGTTCTGATCCGTAGAGTCTGGTTTGGAGCCGCAGGGTGTCAGAGGAATGAAAGATCAACACATAAGCTGCGTCCGAACGTCCGCCCTGATCCCTGGATAATGGTTACGCCATTTTAGATGTATCTGATCTCATCGCAAAGCATTATGGGATTTGTTTTCACTCTGCGACAATTCGCAAAGATGGCGCAGGCACCGTGCGGGGAGGCGGAGTCAGCAAACAGTAGTGATCATCTGTCCGAATGGTGCGTTAAGTTCACCATATAATCCCGGCTCTATAGTGAGGAAGGGATTTAGGGTTATGGCGGACGTTCGACACAGTCCTAGATTCTGGGTTCTTCTTCTCAGGTTTATATTTCTGCTCCTAATCGTTTGGATTCTGACCCAGAAACACAATAAGCTGCGATTCTGCTCGTTCTGTCGTTATGATGTTTGGGAAAGAAGCAAAGCGAGATCAAAATCAACAGTTCCTCCTTTTTGTGTAGCAGCTGCTGCCACCTGGTGGTCGGTTGCTGTCATGGCGCTCATCGCCTGTTTCCAGGTTAATTAGTGAGAAGTGTTGGACTGTTCCTTTAACATGGAGGCGGAGGATGAGGGTTATGGTTGGTGGGTCAGTCGGTGAAAATGTTCCAGCACTGCCGATCACCTCTTTAGACTCTCTGTGATGCCATAAAGATACGAAGCACCTTTCTTTTCTTTCCTGCCGATGTTTCACTGTCATTTAAATCTGTTTGGGGCCAAACGGACCTGGAGGGACGGGTTCTGGTGTAAGACTGCCTTTTTTTTAAGCTTTGTTGATAGAAGAGGGAGGGAAGCCACTAGCGTACCAACACCACTGTTCCCCCACCGCCGTGTGTCTGTGTCTCCCCGCTGCCGCAGTGGAAACTCCTCAGCTCCATTTAAATCCTTTTCCTTCTAGAGTCGCTCTTTTTAAATCCAGCGATTCAAATCTGAAATCAGATCCACATTTTTCCTTGATCCTCTCGCTCTGGAAGGACAGCAGGTGGAATCCAGAGCCATCATGGCGCCCAGATCCTACATTAAGTTTTCTATCAATAATTTTCAGAGAGATCTACGGATTATGGCCACGGAAAAAAACTAACTTATTAACTGATTTTTTAAATTTTATTTCACCTTAATAGGGATAAAAAGTAAAAATTCCAAGATTAATCTCAAAATTCTGACTTTAATCTCAGAATTCTGACTTTAATCTCGGAATTCTGACTTTAATCTCGGCAATTCTCTCGGAATTCTGACATTAATCTCGGAATTCTGACTTTTTTCTCAAAATTCAGAATTTAATCTCGGAATTCTGACTTTAATCTCGGAATTCTGACTTTAATCTCGGGAATTCTCTCGGAATTCTGACATTAATCTCAGAATTCTGACTTTTTTCTCAGAATTCAGAATTTAATCTCAGAATTCTGACTTTAATCTCGGAATTATGACATTAATCTCGGAATTCTGACTTTAATCTCGGAATTCTGACATTAATCTCAGGAATTCTGACTTTAATCTCGGAATTCTGACTTTAGTGTTAGAATTCTGACTTTAATCTTGGAGTTCTGACTTTAATCTCGGAATTCAGAATTTAATCTCAGAATTCTGACTTAAATCTTGGAATTCTGACTTTAATCTCGGAACTCTGACTTTAATCTCGGAATTCTGACTTTTTCCTCTGATTTCGGACTTTAATCTCGGAATTCTGACTTTTTCCTCTGAATTCTGACTTTTTCCTCTGAATTCTGATTTAAATTTCGGAATTATGACTTTAATCTCGGAATTCTGACTTTAATCTCGGAGTTCTGACTTTAATCTCGGAATTCTGACTTTTTCCTCTGAATTCTGACTTAAATTTCGGGATTATGACTTTAATCTCGGAAAGTTTGACTTTAATCTTGGAATTCTGACTTTAATCCCGGAGTTCTGACTTTTTCCTCTGAATTCGGACTTTAATTTCGGAATTCTGACTTTAATCTTGGAATTCTGACAGTACTCTCGGAGTTCTGACTTTAATCTTGGAATTTTGACTTTTTTTTTCAGAATTTAATCTCAGAATTCTGACTTTAATCCAGGAGTTCTGACTTTTTCCTCTGAATTCTGACTTTAATCTGGGAATTCTGATTTTAATCTGGGAATTTTGACTTTAATCTCAGAATTGTAGATCTTAATGTAGATGGGCACCATGAAGGCAGAGATGTGAAGCTTCACTGACAGAGGTGGAAAATGACAGAATGACTTTTTCCGTCCCTGAGTGTTCCTGCTGATGCTATTTGATTAATGGAAGAACAGAAGGTGATTAAATCAAGACAGACATGGCCACGGCTGGATGCTAACATCTGTTAGCTGTCAGGCATTCCAATATTAAACTGAAATAATATTTAAAAAACTTTTTTAAAATGTTTTCAGTGGCCCTAATCCTCCTCTGTTGAGATCTTCCTCCACTAAACTTTCCTGCTGTTTTCAGTTGAACGTCCATCCAGATGTGCGACTGGAAACTTCCAGGAGGATGACATCACTGATCAGTGATTGGCTGGATTTCCTCTGTGGCAGCGTCGCCGTGTCTTTAAGGGGGTGGGGCCGAGTCCGGGGAGTCCTGTGGGGGGGTGGGGCTTAAGCTGAAGTCACACAGACACTCAAAGCGGTGGGATATTTATTATTTTAATTTATTTTTTATGATGGATTTATTTATTGTGGGGTGGGGGTGTGTGGACAGACTCAGCTCATATCCTCGTCCCAGCGGGAGGGGGGACAGACCACCAACCATTTCATATCCGTAGTTCTGACTCAGCTGTAGGTTTGGCTTTAAACCTGAAGAAAGTCACATTTCTGTTCTGAAATGTGAGAAAAGCTTCAATCGATGCACCGATTGATCAGTCCGTCTCACTTCTGTCCACCTGGAGCAAACGGCTCGATCCGATCGATCAGAACCACTTTCTCTGCAAACAGTCGGTGGGCTGGACGCCTTCATGGTGATGAAGAAGAGTTCAGAAGTATTTAAACCCAGAAACCATTGATTCTATCATCACAGCAGGCGGAGAGCTGCTGACCAGACGGGGAAAAGAAACCGATAAAATGTTAAAGTCGTGGGAAATGGTTGGAGTGTTACTGCTTAGAAGAATTATTGCTACATCGGAGTGTTTTTTTCCCGCTATGTTGAATATGATCAGCAGCAGACGGACTGAAGGATGTTTTTATTCACATTTCCAACAAAATGAAAAATGGATCGTCTTAACATCCTGTTTACAATAAAGGGGAGGTGCCTCATTAGGCCCCGCCCACATTGAACACCTGATAGATAGATGGATGGGTGGTGGACTGAGCTGACGGCGAATCTTTGTATCATAGCAACATCGTTTCTCAGATTCTGGATGTTCTGGATTAAAAATTTATTTTTTTAAATTTAAGCATTTTCTGGTGTTACCGGGGAAACCGTAACCAGGAAGCTGATAGATCAGCTCTAACAGTTCCAGCCCTGCTGGGTGCTGAAAATTTGTGCAGGAAGACCTCTGATTGGTCGATTCGCCGCCTGCCGCTCTGCATCGCCACCATCAGTCTGCCTGGAGTGTCGCCTTGATGCAGCGCCGTCCAGGACGTAGTCAGGGCCCATCGTTGATGCCATTCGCCATTGCCTTGTTTTTATTTGTGGTTTTTTGCTGATTTGAAATGTAATGTTGATGATGAATCATGTAACAGCCTGTGTCCGTTTTTATATCATTGCCTTCTGCTGAGTTTGTATATTTGTGTGATTTCACTAAAGTGTAAAGAAGGAAACTGGTGTCGTTATTTCTGTTCAACTTCCAGCGGCAGCAACAGAAGCTGGGGAAGCTTAGAGATCACATGACTCCCCCCTCCCCCCCCATTCCTACCCCCCAACCCCCAAGGGTACAGGTTACCAAGGGTACAGGCTAATTAATGGAGAACAATGATACAGACTTTTCAGCTCTTATCAGCAGCGACGACAAAAGACTCGTTATCTCAGGTTTTCATTATCAGGAGGAGCTGCTGATTAAAAGACGCCTGCAGTTCACAGCGCAGGGAAAAGTTTTTCTCTGGATTCTAAAAATGTATTTCTACAACGAAACAAAAAGGTTTAAAAACTCAAAGCAGCTAAACTAGTTCCTCAGGAGAAGCTTTGAGCTTCAAACTGTTTCAGAAGAATCTCTGATCCTCTAACCTCACCTGCAGATTTCACTGCAGAAACGACCTACAAATAAGGAAAAATGTCTTAAATTAAGTGTATTTACCTTTAATTTAAGCAGGTAAATAAGAGGATTTGTTAATTTCCTCTTAAAATAAGATAATTAGATCATATGCACTGGAAATAAGACGCTACATTTGTTTTTTCGTATGCAAGTTATCTTGTTCCATTAGCAAAGTGTCTCATTTCCCTCCACAATTCAAGAACAAATGCACTTATTTTAAGAAAAAATGATTGTAGAGTCTCCTGAACGGTCAGATATGCTTAGTGTCGTCGTTAGCTTGGGGACAGGTGCGCGTCCAGATGAAGCC